AGGGGAGAAGGAGACGGAGGGACTCGCAAGGGCAAAGGCCCCAGGGCTTGGGATGAGGGGAAGGGGAACATGGGCTGGACTGGAATGAAAGATCTTGTCCATGAAGACGCTGCTCAGGAGGTGCAGGTCAGCAGAAGAGGAAGGCTGGATGGTGTTTTGAGTTTGTTAAGTGTGCCCTTTCTACTGATGGCCCCTTTCTCTGTAGGAGCTCCAGGGTCAAAGGTCAGATGTATACAGCGACCTCAACACACAAAGGCAGTATTACAAATGAGCCCACACCATGACAGTCACCGATATGACGCCCGGATGCAGCCATTCCTGTTGTCCACCCAGTGACCTAGTGTGTCTTCTCCCTTCGGATGATGCCAAATAAACATGGAGCACAAACATGCTGTGTGTGGTGGCAGGTTCCCGGGGGTGGGAGTCGGGGTGCTGGGAGTGGGACCATGCACGCAGGGACCTCATGTGGACCTGGAATCTAGAAACAGCTCAATGAAAGGGACGGCTTGGGACTCCTGAAGAGGAAAAATAAAACTAGAGAGAATGCAAGGGCTTTATTTCATTCCCAAGCAGGGCAAAGAGGAGTGTCCACTTCCCCCTCCCCTTTGCTCCCCCACCCTCCCCTCCAGCTGGCCATGACACCAGGCACAGTCCAGCATAAGAGGGTCAGATGTCAAACGTGGAAGTCGCAGGAGGGTCAGCCCCTACCAGGCATGTTGATGTAGATTTTGCCATCTTCTGGGGGTGGGGAGAGAAAGCAGCAGGCCTGACTACCCACCACCACCCCCCAGCTCCCCCTCCCTGGGGACCTGTTGCACCAGGGGTTCCCCCAGGCACCGCCCCCAGGGTTTCCCCAGCACCACCTCCAGGGCTTCCCCTGGAGTCCCAGCCCTGGGACCACCCCCTCCCTAGGGACCCCACTCATACCCTAAGCACCACCCCTTCCCCCTCCCCCCACCTGCACCTTGGGTAGACCCTTGGCGTGGGCGGGCACACGCAAACACTACCCCCACGATCAGGAGTGACATGACCGCATCAGCAGCCACAAGGCCCGCCAGGAGTGGTAGAGACAGGGGCCCACATCCGGAACAGGAACCTGCAGAGATGGGCCAAGACAGGGTGGCTAAGGGGGCTTGTGGACCCACTGTCAGAGGTGAGAGGAGGGGGTGTGTTTTGGTTATAGGGAGAAGGGGAAGTCCTGTGTTGAGGGACGTGGGTCTCAGGTCCCCTGGGTCACTCTTGGGGAACCAGAGGGCAGGTGAAGGCTCAGAGAGGGCAGGGGAACCCAGGATCCCGGGGCTGCGGTCAGGCAGGTGGGGTACTCCCAAAGAGAGGCGGGGGGCTGGGGTATGGGTGAGTCAGAAAGCAGTGAGGGGTGAGGACAGCCCACGCCCAAGGCCCTGTGCACTGCCCAAATCCCACTACCCTACCCCTGATTCAACACGGCCTCCCACTGCTGACACACAGCTAAGTCTCACTTTCCACCCCTCTCCAGACACCAGCCAGGACGCTTTCCTGGAAACCAGCAGGAGTGACCCCACCCCAGCCCCACCTCCTTTGCATCTTTGATCAGGCCCCAGACCTGGCATCACTCCCACCACACACACACACCCACCCCCCAGCACGTCTGGGAGGGGAGAAATAGCCCTTAAGCTTACCTACAGGTCGGAGTGGCCGCTTAGATTCTCAAGAATTCCTGCTTTTCCCTTCACCCCTGTCTACATCTCCCCATTATAGTCTTAGACGCAGGAAGACAAAAACCCAAGCCTAGCTAGGATTCTTAATTCCCACAACAATGAGGGGCCCTGCCTCCTCCCTGGGGTCTTAGGTACCCAGCATGGCCCGGGGGTCCTCTGAAGTGGGTAGGATTAGTGACGAGGGGAAGAGGAACTAGCGCCATGAAGAGCAACTGTGGTGTGCTGGGGACTCTGGCCAAGCCTTAGGAACCCAAGCTTAGGGACCAAAAGGGTCAAGGGCCGCAGAGAGGCAGGGACTCTCACCTGGGGATGTCTGAGCTGCAGTCGCTGTGGAAAGAAAGAGAGGTGCATGAGTGGGGAGCCCCAAGGCAGGGTTCAGGGAGGGTGATGCCCTGATGGGCACCCTCTACCACCTGCCTAGAGGTCAGGTGGGCTAGGGGTGCCCGGTAAGGAGAAAAATGCCCAGTGGCTCACAGAGGCCGCTGCAGAACTTCCCCCAGCCTCCAAACCCACAAGGACCCAGGCCCAGGGATGGAATAGGTCTTCAGGAAAGTGAGGAGCCCCCAGAAAAGGATCTGCCCTCAGCACCTGTCCCTTTGACGTCACTTAAGCCACCTTCTCACCAGTTACCCTGCCTATCATCCCCACGCCCACCCTTCCCTCCTTCCCCCACAAGCTTCACCTGGGAGTAAAAGCAGGAGTAAGAGCTGGCCTGCAGGGCCCATGGTGTGCTGGGAGCCGAGGGACCTGGCAAAGGCCTGGGGTCCAGAGAAGGCTGGAGGAAGCGTGGGGGAAGCAGGCAGCGGATGTCACCCTGTTGTCAGCAGGGCCACCTACTTCCTGTGTGTGTGGGGTGGCCTTGTGACTGCCTTAGGGGAACAAGCTGGGTGGCTGGGGATGAGAGCGGCAGGTGGCTGCCAGGTGAGGGTGCAGGTGGGCCAGGGGTAAGATTCTGGAAATCTGTGGAAGGTGGAACCAACCAAATTTGCCCATGGGATGGGATGGATGTGGCTGGGTTGAGAGAAGGATCTGGCATGACAGAGGCTTCTGACCAGAGCAACTGACGAGATGGGTGTCCACCAACACAGGGAGGGACCAAAGTGCCACTGCTGGCACGCCTCGTCACAGAGATGCGAGACACCCACGGCTGTACTTAGGACAAGTGGGTCTGGGGATGTCACGGGGCAGGAGTGGGTGGGTGGGGTGGCTGATGGCTTAGGGATGGCATTTAAAAGCCTTGGCACTGAGTGGATCACAAGGAAGTGAGCACAAAGACTCCCTGCCCCACCCCAGCACACACACACACACACACACACACACACACACACACACACACACTGGGGAAAAAGGAGGAGCCAACGAGGACAGCAGACCCAGGAGAGCATGGGAGAAAGACATCACGGCCATGGTCGCTGCTCTGCACTGCCACCAAGTGGGAATCGAGAAAGCCTCTGGCCCCAAAGTCAGCTCCAGGACTTGGGAATACCAGTCTGCTCCGAGCCGGCTCTGTCCCAGAGTGCAGTCCAGGGGCTCCCCTGCTGTAGCCCATAACTCTCGTGCTGAAGGAATGCCTGAACCCTGACACAGCAGAAGGACATGCAAGCAAGAGGGAGAGATTCGAGACACCTGTTGGCTCTCCAATTTTCTAAAAGATAATTGGAGTTTTTGTAAATTTTATTTTTATTTATTCGAAAGGCAGAGACAGAGAGCCGTTTTCCATCCCCTGGTTCTCTCCCTGAATGCCCCCCACAGCTGGTGCTGCTGGGCCAGATGCAAGCCAGAAGCTGGAAGCGCCATCCAGGTGTGCCACGTGGGTGCAGGGCAAGGACCCCCAGAGGCTGAGCCGGCTGCCTCCCGGGGTGCGCATTAACAGGAAGCTGGGATCCCGAGCCCAGCCAGCGACCCAAACCAGGCGCCCCACGCGGCTCCAAGACCCAAGACCTCCCTCCACCACCACCACCCCAGACTAGGTTGTCAGGACTCCCAGCCCCCTCCCTGACCAGGATTCGGGAGTCAACACCGGCTGCCCCACCTCCAGCAGAGGCCGAGAAGTCGGGGACCCTCGGCTCCGCCCCTCCGGGAGACCCAGTGTCAGCCGCTCCCACTTTCTGGGTTCACCCGAGCCGGACGCGGGGACTCCCGGGCCTGTGGGCGGGGCCTGACCACGTCGGGGCGGAGCCCAAACCCCAATTTAAAAACTTCGCGGGGGTGATCTGGCTTAAGATCGGGGACCCCGGCGGCGGCTCCGCGGGGAAACAGCGAGACTGGCGCAGCGCCGAGGCCGCGGCCCTGGGGGGCCGCAATCCGCGCCTCGCAACCCCCGAGGTAATGGGATGGAGCGTGGGGGAGGCACGGGCAGCTGCAGAGGTGGGGGACTGAGAAACCGAGCTGGAGCGTTAGGTCCCGGGTGCTGAGATTGGGGGTACCCGGGGTTGGAGGGGCGAGGGTTCCAGGGCTCCTGGATCCCGACCGAGACGGGGCTGCGTTTCTGCGCTCCGCAGCCCTTGGGGACGCAGGGGACTGGGAATCCAGAATGTTGCGTTCCAGGGGTGAGAGGCCTGGGAGTGGGAAAGGAAGGGGGTCCGGGCCTGCGGATCCTTTCGGAGAGGGTGCTGAAATCCGGGCTCGCCCCAGTGGACGCGCTGGTCTGGGGGGGCGTGGCTTAAAACCTGCCCCTGGCCTCGCCACGGGTGTCCACGCTGGCCGTGCCCCTGGCCGGGCCCCGGGTTTCCCGCGTCGCCACCGGTCCGGGGTCTCCGGGTTTCCCGCGTCGCCACCGCTCCGGGGTCTCCGGGCTGGGCAGGAATTCCCCACGTGCGGGGATTCCACCAGCGCCACGCTCGGCCGCGCGCCCCGCCCCGCGCAGCCGGACACCTGCCGCAGCGCGCACCCGCCAGGGGCCCGGGAGGGACGGAAGATTCCCTTGCGTGTGTGCAACGCCATTACGTGAGCGCGTTGTCGCGGCTGGGCTGTTTCCGAGCTTAACTCTTCCTTGGCCGGAACCCCAGGCTCGGAAGGGGTGAGGCTGGAGGGACCCGGAGGCCTGTAGGGTGCCTGGGACTCTGGGCTCCCCTCTGTGTCTGCAGGATGGGAGGCGGAGGGAGGAGCCGGGCATAGGGACTCCTGCCTGGGGTACGCGGGGAGAAGGTGGGGGATCGAGCCTGGGGCCCCTCGACTTCCAGGGGAGTGTATGGGGTGGGGGTGGGGAGGTTTGCTTAAGCACAGCCATTGCAGGCAGCCCAGATAGAATGGTTCCCCGGGGCCTCTAGCCTAGGAGACCTAGGGAGTGGATTTTTTTTTTTTTTTAAAAAAGAAAGTGAGGGGAGCTTCTGTCGGGAGGGGTGGGTGGAGGGATGGGAGCGCTCCTCCCCCATCCCCAGTTTCCACTACGCTGGTGGAAAGTTGGGTCAGAGGGAAAGCGCGGAGTAAAGGGAAGGAAAAGGCGGGGGCGGGCGCCGCACCCCAGATCTGTTGGCTTTGGACTTCCTTCTCAAGGCGGCGCCACCGTGTGCCAGGTTTTCCGCGCGGGAGGGCGAGGAGGGTTGCGCCCACACTTGCTTCCCTCGCGTGATTGGGTGACTTCGGGACCCCGGTGACTTCCTCCACTCCTCTGCTCCCTCCTCCCCTTCAGTGAGCCGGAATGAGCGCAGCCACTGCCCCACGCAGACAGTGAAGAAGCTCCTGGAAGAACAGAGGCGCCGCCAGCAGCAGCCTGATGCCGGTGGGGTCGCGGTGAGGCCCAGGAACCCAGTGCGTGGGAAAGGCGCATGAGGCCACCATGAGCTGCTCAGCGCCAGGGGATCCAGAGCCCTGCCCCGTGGAGACTGGTGCTAAGACCTGTGCCCCATGAGTTGACCCTTGTCCCTTTGTGCTTGCACAGTTACAGGGACAGCTCCCTCCTCCGCAGCCGCAGCAGCAGCCCCTAAGCATGCCCCCGCCTATGAATGAGGTGGAGGCTGGTAAGTCTGGGGAAAAAAAAAATCTTCAGGGTCCCTCAGTTCCCAGCTCCAGCTTGCCCTTGGAATTGACTGTCCCAGCTTAGAATTTGGAGGGCTCCAAGGGTTGGGCCCTCTGATCCTGATTCCTCAGAGCCCATACTGTAGGCTGCTAGGGGCCCAGGCTGCCCGTGTTCTGGTACCCCAGGAGATTGGAGGCTGGAACACTCGGTTTCCGAGCGGTCCGGGTGTTAGCTGATTGGCTGATGTGCTAGGTTCTAGGCCCCAGCCCTGGCACTGACCTCTCTGACCCTGGTAATCAAGCCTGCCCCTGCCCCTCTTACACACAGGCCATGCTCACTTCCCAGGACACCAGGAGACCGGTGGGCCTGGAAGCCAGGCACCTGCCACAGGCTTTCCAGACTGGGACTCCAACATACATGCAGCCTACTCAGACAGTACCTACGCTCACCCTGTGCCCGCTGCCCAAGGTTTCCCCACTCCTGACTTCTACCCGCCCTGGGACCCCGGGCGGTCATGCCAGTTTCCCCTGGAGGTGAGTGGGAACAGGATGCTGAGGGGCCCCGAACAGTTTTCAGTTCAGGTGTCTGCAGCTGGATCGAGATCCCCCTCCCTAGATGAGTTACCCTGAGGTCTGACAGTTCAAGGTCATTTGGCACAGATGGGACACCTGGCCACTTGGCCAAGGCATTTGTGTATGTGGGGGAGGGGGTGCATTGCGGTTAAGGATGGAGAATTTTCTACTGACTGGCTCTCCACATCACCTGTACCCTTTAGGACCCCTTGGATGCACGGCTGTATGCAGAACCTCCCCTAGCCCAGGCAGGATCCTGGAGGGCTTCTGGACTCCCCCCGGGACCCCCACAGCTGCCCTCTTCTGCTGGCCCATCCTTGGACACAGCCCGAGCTCATATGTTGGCTTTAGGGCCTCAACAGCTGCTGGCCCAGGATGAAGAGGGGGACACGTGAGTATGGGGAAGGTGGGATGCCTGCAGACCCCAAGCTCAGTAGAAGGACTGTCTTCACCACTGGCCTTTGCCTGCTGCTAGGCTCCTGCACCTGTTGGCAGCCCGGGGGCTGCGCTGGGCGGCGTACGCAGCAGCCGAGGTGCTTCAGGCTTACAGACAACTGGACGTGCGTGAGCATAAGGGCAAGGTGAGAGGCCTGATACCTGGACTCACGTCCCGGAGAAGGCTGTAGGGCTGTCAGTTCTGGGGGCCGAGATTAACTCCTCTTGTGACTGACAGACGCCTCTGCTGGTGGCCGCCGCTGCCAACCAGCCTCTGATTGTGGAGGATCTGCTGAACCTTGGAGCAGAGCCCAATGCCACTGACCATCGGGGACGTTCCATCCTGCATGTAGCTGCGACCTACGGGCTGCCAGGCGTCCTCTCGGTATGTACCACCAATAAGTGGGGCATCTGGGGTAAACCAGTTGCCCAGCTGCTGGCTTCTAGAATGAAGAGACCTATGGAAAAGACTTGTTTGTAACTGTACCTTGCCTTTCCCCCAACCAGGCCGTGTTTAACTCAGGGGTTCAGGTTGACCTGGAAGCCAGAGACTTTGAAGGTAGGTTGGATGTGGGTAGGACTCGGGTGGGAGGTTGGCCGAGTGCTCCCATATGGGTCCCTTACTCTCTCCCTTCTGCAGGACTCACTGCCCTCCACACAGCCATCCTGGCCTTCAATGTTGCCATGTGTCCACCCAACCTCTGTCCCCAGGGGCTGAGTACCCAAGCCCGAGACAGGCTGGCTTGCGTTCAGATGTTACTGCACATGGGTGCTGATCACACCAGCCAGGTGAGCTGGGCTGTGGGTGGCCTGCCTGGAAGTCAAGGCCACCGACCTTGCCTCCTCTTCACTGTGTGACCGCAGTCTTGTTACTTCCCTTCCCTAATGTCAAACTGGCAATGAACTTGGTGATCATAGCTCCTATTTAGGCAACACAGAGTCAAGCATTACCTCACCAAGCTCTCACGAACACTCCTCCAAGCAGGGGTTGTTACCACTCTATGCATTTTATAGATGAACAGGTACAGGGAATCGGAAACATATATAGTAAGATTTCTTTATTTAGTTGGAAGGCAGAATTATACAGCAAAAAAAGAACGAGAGATCTTCTATGCAATGGCTTACTCCCCCAAAACATACAGTCCTGGGCCAGGCTGAGGCCAGGAGCCTGGGACTCCGCTGGGACTTCCACGCGGGTGGCAGGGACTGAAACGCCGGTACCATCTTCCACTGCCTTCCCAGCTGCGTTAACAAGGGACTGGTTCAGAAGTGGAGCAGCTGGGCCTTGAACCAGTGCTCCCACAGGAGATGCCAACATCACTTAATGTGCTGTGCCACAGCGACAGCCCCCACCCCCCAAAATCTTACACAAATTGTGAGTGTCAGAGGGGACTGGAACCAAGGCAGTCCGAGCCTCGCGATGAAGTCACTCTCGCTGTGACAGCAGCCTCTTCAGGGGCCGCCCCAGAGAGCGAAACATGCATTTCGCTGTGGGGGAAGGAAGGTCTGGAGCCAGTTTCTGTGGTGTTGTGTTTCGCTTTCCATTTTTCTAAGAATGTTCTGATTCTCCTCTTTCTCCATTACCTACACCCGAACACAAAAGACCAAAGCCCATCTCTTTCATGAAACATCTATCTGCACCTTACAAAGATGCTTCTTCTAACCCCAGCAGCTCTGTAACACTGCAGACTTGAAAGGGCTACTTTTTTTTTCCCCATTAAAAACAAAATCAGGATCTAAGTGATGCTTTTTCCCATCTCTGTTTTCGCACCGTAATGTATTGGGGGAGCGAGGTGGGTGGTTCTGCTCACCCCAAGGACCTAAAAATCTTCATGTTCATGATCGTTCCAGTCTACAAAGGCACATTGTCATAAAGTGTCATTTCTGGAAATATCTTTCATTTCCCCGAAAAGATAGAGGGAAAGCAGCTCACCAGTACTGGCTGTGGGCTTAGTCCAAAGACTGGTGCCATCAGACACCTGTCTTTGCACAGTATGGTCCATGTGGGACAGCGTGCCTTCAGTGTGTTAAAAATAGGATGTGGGGTCATCAGCGGGTGCGCTAGCCTGAAATGCTAAGGAGACCATCCCAGCTAGAGCACAGTTGTGTGAACGGCACCTCCTCCTCACCCTCTTGGCAGGAGATCAAGAGCAACAAGACGGTCCTGCACTTGGCCGTGCAGGCCGCCAATCCCACCCTGGTTCAGCTGCTGCTGGAGCTACCGAGGGGAGACCTGCGGACTTTTGTCAACATGAAGGTGAGGACCTGGGCTGGGAGGTGCAGGTTGTAGGAGACATGTCGGGGGAGGAATGCTGGGATATTTGGGGGGCTGAGCACTGTGTAGGATGGACACAGAGATACACGATGCTGGGAGCAGCTTGCAGGGCCATGGCTGGCACAGTCTGCACCCTCATCACCTTCCCCTCGCTGTTCAGGCCCATGGGAACACAGCTCTTCACATGGCGGCTGCCCTGCCCCCTGGGCCACCCCAGGAGGCCATCGTGCGGCACCTGTTGGCGGCGGGGGCAGACCCAACACTTCGCAACCTGGAGAATGAGCAGCCTGTCCATCTGCTGCGGCCCGGGCCGGGCCCTGAGGGGGTGAGTGCTGAGCCAGACGGTACAGGGGACACCCTCACTCCAGCCAATCCCTTGAATCTCCACCTCCAATTTTATCCAAGCTTCGAAAAGGTACCTCTGACCTCAAAGGGGTGCCCCTTGACTTTGAGCCCAACCCTGACCTCAGAGTAGGACCTGCACTCCCAACCCTGAGTCTCATTTGCCAACAGTGACTTCTGATCCCCTTGATCCCCCGCTCCGACCCCGTGGATAGCAGCTCCCTCCCCTTCACTACCCCCCTGCCGCCCCCCATCTCCGCCCCCCATCTCCGCCCCCCCCTTCCACTCCTGACCTTTTCTGTGTGTAATGGCTGCCCTCCACCTCCAAGTCCTGACTCTCGACCTCTGACCTCCCAAGCCAACAGACCCCACTCAGCCTCCCTCTGACTCCTGCCTCCATGTGGGGTCCTTCCCCTCTCCCCACACCGCCTTCCCATCTTCTTACTCTGCTTTGCCTTGTCCACAGCTCCGGCAGCTGTTGAAGAGGAGCCGTGTGGCACCCCCAGGCCTGTCCTCTTAGGACTCAAACCCAGAACCTGGACTGATTTTCCAGTCCCCACCGTCCTGTGGGACAGCCAGCGTATGCGAATGTTGCAAATCTGTGATAATGTATGTGGAATGCCCTGCCATTGGGGTCTTACATTAAAACCCGCAGTGGCTGCTGGGGGGCAGGGGTTGACCAGTCCCCAATATTTGGGGCAGTGTGATACCCCTCCCCTACCCACAAGGAGCCTTCATACTGATTTCTGTGAAATCGAGGCCCCTTGTTTGTTTCTATGAAACACCCCCTGGCCCCTGTTGTTTTACCCACTGGGGTTTTTTGGGATCTTCTCCCTCTCATTGAGTCTTTATACCTGGAAATTTAGGTGAACCCCCCCCCCCCACAGTACTTGGCAGTGTCCCAATACCTTACCAAGGAGGACTCCCAAGATGGTCCCCTGACTCTCCCTGGGACCAATAGCTGTTGGGTCTCAGCCCCTGAGATGCACGGAGTACCTCCTGGAATTTGAATTCCCCAATTCCTGTCGCCTCCTAACTCAGCACTCGCAGGGGGCCCTAGCCTAGGCCTCAGCATGCCCTTGGAACTCTGAATTAAACTCAATTTGGACTAGAACTGCTGTGGTCTGCTCTCTGGGGGCACGGGAGTGCAGGGGAATAGCTGTGATGGCACTGAAGGGATCAGGTGTGGCTGAGCAAGCCTGCGTAGAGCATTGTACAGACAGCATGGATGTCAAGTCCACATCCCATCTCCCTCACCCTGCTCACATACAGGGGCCTGACTGCCAGGCCCACCTGACTGCCTCCTCAGCTGTGCGTCTGAGCATGGCAAGCTTTGAACCCCGGGAGCTCAGGCCTGCTTCTGTGCCAGCAGCCTCCAGCTGGTGACTGATCGGGGGCCCCTGCCCTGCCCACTGCAGTCACTCACAAGTGTGTTTCCCTCAGGCCACCACAGCAAAATGAAGCTGCAGGTCACCGTGGTTCTGACTTGATCAAATTTCCTTAACCGTCTTTCTGTCTCTGCTCACCTCCCCTCACGGATGCAATTGATCCCTTCCAAAGAAACTTGCTCTCAAACCATTAGTACTGGCTTCTGGAATGATCCAAGTGAAAATCAGCGGAGCCTCCACCATGTACCCTTCTTTAGCTAGCTCCCACCCTGACAGCCTGGTGACCTACCATGGCCCTCTGCCAGGAGCCTCTTGAGACAGCGAATTAAGTGAATGTGAGGAATTTGGACATGATTATGGGGAATTCCAACTGAAAAGAGAAATTTGTTTGGATGCAAGAACAATATCCAATCTGTGCATTCTTTGTCACGAAACCCAATGTCTTAAAGACCTATTTGTTTATTTGAAAGGAGGACTTAGAGATCTTTCACCTGTTGGCTCACTCTTTATAATGGCTTCAACAGCCAAGGCAAGGCCAGGCATTCCATCCAGGTCTCCCACTTGGATGCCTTGGGCCATTTTCTACTGTTTTCCCAAGTGCTAAAGTGAAGAGTTGAACCCAGAAGGGTGTGGCAAGGACTCAAACTGGCAACCACATGGGATGCTGGTATTGCAAACAGTAGCCCAATGCACCATGCCACAACTTGGCCTTGCCTAATACTTGTTTTCTGTACATGCTGGAAAGACCTCTTATATATATTAGCACACTTTAGATGTTTGCCAGGATCTCCACCTCAAAACCTAGGAGTCGAACAGTCACATTGGGGAGCATGCATATAGCCTAGTGGTTAAGATGCCTGTGTCCCACAGTGGAATACCAGGTTTGATTCCTGCCTCCAGCTCCTGACTCTAGTTTCCCATTGGTGCGGGCTCTGGGAGAAGTTGTAATGGGTGCACACTGCTTCCCACCACCCTCATGAGAGACATACATTGTATTCCCAGTTCTTAGCTGTGGCCTCAGGCCAATCCAGCCCTGCCTAATGTGGGCATTTGGGGAACGAACCAACAAATGGGAGTGTTTCTCTCCCTCTCTTCCCCTCCCTGGCTTCCCCTACTTCTTCCCTCTGTCTTGAGAGACAGAGATTTAAATTTAAACTTTTTAAAGCCATTTATTTTTACTAGAAAGACAGATTTACAGAGAGAAGGAAAAAAAAAAAGATCTTCCATCCTCTGGTTCACTCTCCAAATGACCACAGTGGCTGGTACCGGGAGCTTCTTCTAGGTCTCCAACACAAGTGCAGGATTCAAGGCACTGGACCATCCTCCAGTGCTTTCCCAGGCCAGAAGTTGGATGGAAAGTGTAGCAGCTGGGACATGGACCGGCACCCAGATCAGATCCTGGCACCTGGAGGTGGAGGATTAACCAGTTGAGCCAATGCACTGGGCCCAAATACATTGAACATTTTAAAAACCTTCTTTTTCCATGCTTATGCGCTCTGTGCTGAGCTCAGCTGGCAGAGTTGCAGCTTGCAGTCAGGAATTCCAAGGCAACTTCATCTACATGGGTGACAGCTTGGCTGAGGCGGCTAGAACTGCTGGGAAGGAGTTGCACATCTCTCCGTGTGGCGCAGGAGGGCAGGCGCATTTCTTCACATGGTGGCTCAAGCACGCCAACAAAGCCAAGCGCTGTTTACCTCACACTCACAGACCTTCTTTGGCCCTAGAACTCATGTAGAGTATAACATCTCAAAGTCATAAATTCAAGGTGCTGTGGGCAAAACTTTATCTGACGATGGTGCTTAAGAGGTGGGCTTGGTGGGAGGTCCTTGAAGCCCTGAAATTTGCCCCCAGGAGCTGGTTGTGGCAAGAGAGTTGGTTGAACAAGCCCAGCTGCGCTCTGCTTCCTGGCTGTGTGATGCTTGGTGTACCCTCAGGACTCCACCAACAAGAGCTCCTTCAGCAATGCCAAACCCACAGGGCCTCCTGGCCTTGGACTGTGACTACTGCTCCTGAGTCAGAGTCAGTCATGTGACCAAGGCCAGGGTCTATCCCAGGGCATGAACAGCGGGTAGCAGAGTTATCAGGGGGAGCTAGTGCAAAGCTTCCAATAGCTACCATGCGCTAGCACATGTGTCCCTGTAAGTACTGATATGGTGGCAGCTGGCTCATGGAGGACCCATGGGAATATATATACTGAATGTTGCTGATTCTAAAAAGAATTGGAATTCATGAAGACCTGGAATGATGGCATAGTAGCTAAATTCTCACCTTGCAATCACCGGGATCCCATATGGAAGTTCATGTCCCAGCTGCTCCACATCTCATCCTGCTCCTTGCTTGTGGCTTGGGAAAGCAGCAGAGGATGGCCCAAGGACTCGCATGGGAGACTGCAAGAAACTCCTGCCTTCAGATCAACTCATCTCTGACTGCTGTGGCCACTTGAGGAGCGAACTAGGGGATGGGACAGAACATCTTTCTCTTTGTCTCTCCTCTCTGTAAATCTGCTTTTCCAATAAAAATAAATAAGTCTATTTTAATAAAGAAATTTATAAAAACAATTGCATGGTGCAAATTGATGCTTGCTTTGTTATTATCTAATTCTCATTGATGACATCTGAAATTTCACTGTTGTAAGACGTCTATCCGGATGGCTAGTGTTATGGATTGCATGGGGTTTTCTATTTATATTTTTTAAATTTATTTGGAGAAGAGAAAGAAATCTTACTTCCATTGAGTCACTTCCCAAATGGTCTAAGAACAGCTAGGGCTGGGCCAGACTAAAGCCAGGAGCCCAGAACTCCATCTGGGTCTCCCAGGTGGGTTGAAGAGGGTTCAAGGACTTGGACCATGATCTGCTGCTTTCTCAGGCACCTTAGGAGGGAGTTTGATGAAAAGCAGAACAGTGAAGACACGGACCTCCCTCCAACATGGGTTACCAGCATCATAGGCAGTGACTTAGCCAGCTGTGTCACAACGCTGGGCCTGGACCACATGTTTGTGTCCCTACCTCCAAGTCCATTTGCTGAAACTGAAAGCCTCAGTGGGATAGCATTTGTGTGTTGGAACTTTGGGAGGTAATTATGTCATGAGGCTACGGCCTGCATCATGGGATTAGTGACCTTATTAGAAGGGATGTGAGACGGTTTGCTTCCCCATTCTGTGCCATGTGAGGTCACAGTGAGATGACAGCCATTGGGAGCCCTCACCAGGCAGTGTGTAGTTGGACTCCCCACCTTCTAGAACTGTTAGGAATCATTGTGTTCTGGCTAATCCATTCAGTCTATGCTATTCTATGGCAGCAGCCTGCAATAACACACAAACACACACCTATACACACATACACCACTGACACAATCCTACAATCCTCATTTTAAAAAAAGATTTATTTGTTTTTATTGGAAAGAAAGATATGTGAAGAGAAGGAGAGACAGAGAGAAAGATCCTCTGTCTGTTGGTGCACTTCCCAAGTGGCTGCAACAGCCAGAACTGGGCCAATCCAAGGTCAGGAGCCAGGAACTGTCCTCTCCTCTATTGCTTTCCCAGGACATAAGCAGGGAGCCAGACGGAAAGTGGAGCAGCTGGGACATGAACCAGCATCCAAATGGGATCCCGGCAATGCAAGGCGAGGATTTTGGCTACTAGGCCATTACGCCAGACCTGACACAATTCTTTTCAATGGGACATCAGGTCATCAAGTGAGTAATAGAAAAAATATTTTTCCTGCCTGCCAAAATTTCAAAAGCAGTGTTTTAAGATAAGTACTCAAAGTATTTTGAGTAATTGGCAAACTTTGTGAGAGCACCAACCAATGAACTCCTCAACATGGCCTTTCCTGTCCTGTTTCCTGGGAACTCCTCACCAACTGTTAATCTGTTGGTCACTCTTGTTTGAAAAAACACAAAGGCCTCTTCCCCTCTTGCATGTGATGTTGACAACAGATGTCTGCCAGGCAACTCTGAATAAAAGAGAAGGTGTAACCAGAATCAGAATGACGGAGCAAAGTGAATTTGTTCATGAAACTGGGGCGTTGTACCCCACTTGGCAACCTGAAAGGATCTTTCTTCTAACATCTAGTAAGCACATATTTAATACAAATGATCTGTATCTATGTGTATATGTTGTGAAGAGTCAATGCCAGCTCAAAGGCCTGTGGGAGAATTAGAAATAAGTAGTTCCTCCCCAAACCATCTGGCTGAAAATCCAGTGCGATATTGCTGCCAGGGCATGTCACATTACTGCCACCTGCTGGTGAACCTACACGGGTGGGACCTGGGGTTTTGCATTGCAGAATTTGAACACCGAATTCAGGAGCCTTGGAATTATCGCCCTCAGAGCAGCACCTGGCACAGACTGGGTGTCATGGGGATGTTTGCTATTCCAAGGTTCCGAAATTTAACAAATACGAGAGGTGTCAAAGTTTGTGAAAATATACAATTAAAAGAAGTTTGCAGTCCGGCACTGTGGCTGAGATTCCACCTGTAGCACTGGCATCCCTTACGGGCACCACTTGTAAGTCCCAGCTGCTCCAGCTCTCAGTTTACGGCCTGGGAAGGCAGTGGAGGACAGCTCAAGTCCTTGGGCTCCTGCTCCTAGTGGGAGACCCAGAGGTTTCAGCATCTCTCCTCTCTATAGCTTTGCCTTTCAAATTTAAAAGGTCTTTAAAAAAAAAAAAAAAAGCTATATTGCTATGGATTGAGTTAATTGAGAAAAAGGCTTGTTTGGTTGCAATTTGAAATCCTTGCATTCAAAAGACCTCTCCCTACTTGCTAAGTGGCAGTCACAGTTCTCTTTATATATATATATATATATTTATTTTATTTTTTCCTTTTTTCTTATTTATTTATTTATTGTTTAGCAGTCACAGTTCTAATAGCTTCACAAATGCTAATCCTTTTCAATTTCCTGTGACAATCTTATTGAAATAAGTGTCGTCTGCAGAGGGCTAACTCCGACATGCCACACAATAGAACACATGATGGCATGCACTTCAGTTTCTTATAGACATCACATATTCCTCTCTGGGCATATTATGGAAATTTCCACACCCCATGGAGATCCTTAGAGAGGTGAAGATTTGGAAAGTCAAGAAAGAATGCTGGGCCTGAAGCAATAGTGTAGCGGTTAAAGTCCTTGCCTTGAACATGCCCAGGATCCCATATGGGTGCCGATTCTAATCCCGGCAGCTCCACTTCCCATCCAGCTCCCTGCTTGTGGCCTGGGAAAGCAACAAGGATGACCCAAAGTCTTGGGACCCTGCACCCACGTGGGAGACCTGGAAGAGGCTCCTGGCTTCAGATTGACTCAGCTCCAACCTTTGCAGCTGCTTGGGGAGTGAACCATTGGACCTTCCTCTCTGTCCTCTCCTCCTCTCTGTATATCTGCCTTTCCAATAAAAATAAATAAAATCTTAAGAAAAGAAAGAAAGAAAGAAAGAAAGAAAGAAAGAAAGAAAGAAAGAAAGAAAGAAAGAAAGCTAAGACTCCCAGGCCCTCACAGGGCTTGCAGATTCGGGTGGATGCTGTGTGCAATTGTATGCAGGCAAGTCACAACAGGAAACTTGGTGGGTTTTGAGGGGAGTATATATCACAGATTCTTTTTTTCTTTTTGTGAGCATATTGTCAAAATTACTCCAGAGCAAGAGTTCTGTTCCAATTCTTTCTCTCCGGCTCTTGTTCCGTTGGCACCCAGCTATGGTGTTCGAAGATTCCAGTTGGTTTGACAGCTTGAGCTGCTTATTGGGCCTGCCCTGTCTTAGCCAATCCGCAGGGCAGCAGTCCACCAGGTGTGCAGCAGCTGGTACTGGAGGAACCATCGTGCTTTGATGACGTGCACACAGGCCTCTTCCGGGTTCCCGTGTGCATGGCCTGCTCTGGGCACTTATAAGGCCACGCGGATGCAGTGGTGCTTCAGCTTTCATGGCAGCACCTCCTTGTTGAGCTGGTAGAAGTCGACCAGCTGGATCAGATCAGAGAACTTGGTGTTGCCGTCATCCAGGCTGAGGAAGGGCTGGCCTTCCTCCTAGCGAGACAGGATCTGAAAGTTCTTAATCTTGTGGTGATGGCACAGTGTCAATACAAAGGCCTTTGGATTACTCTGCCTGTCACGAAGGAGGAAAAGTCCATCCACCAGCCCTTGCTGCTTGATGATGCAGTGCTACTGCTCCCGGGAGATGCGGCCATGGAACCACAGCTGGGTGCGGTGGATCACTGAGGATGGAGAACAGGGCAGAGCAAGACCAGGCATGGTGACTGTGGTGAGCAGCACAACCTCTTCCCACAGATTCTTTATTAAATCTTTAAAAATTATTTTAATTTTTTATTATTTTTACATAGTTGATTAGGGTTCAAAATGTCAAAGGCTAAAGGAAGGTACGTAAGACCATTATTTCTACATTCTCTTTTTTTCCTTCCTGTATTGAGGGAAGGGGAGAGATAAGGGGAGCAGGCACACCCAGCCTCCCAACTACCTCCATACCCTAGAATGGACAGCCACCTGACACCACTCCACGGGCACTGCTCAAGAGTTTTTTTTATAGTTCAACAGTTCTGAATTACTGCCAGTCTCACCGTTCCTTGCACGATGAAATCTCTCCAGAATCCACTGGTTGACATCGTCCACCTTAAAGTCTCCATTTGACCAGGTTTTCACTGCCAACAGTTGGCTGGGGTAGGTAATCAATTTGTTCTGTCTGCTGTCTTCTGTTATGGTACCAGCTGTCCTCTGCAGGCTGCAATGTACTGCCATATCCTCCTTGTGCAGTTGGATATGCTATCTACTGCTCTAAGCCACTGAGGAGGCCCAGCTCTGACACATGCACTCCACAGTCAAACCACGGAATCTGCAATTCTTTCCATAGTTGGGGTTCTGAGTCCAAAAATTCAGTTGGGGGGATCCCCAAAGAAACTTTATCTTATGTGACCCCAGACCTTATTCTTGTATGTGCTTGCCAATACTGGATCTGGCACAGTCTGTCTCCCCAATCAGTTTATGTACATGCTGGTGGTTGCAATTGCTGGGTCAATTCTGCCTTCAGCCCTGTCTTTTACATGAACCAATGGGTGTTGCAGCCCAGCCCCAATCCTACCCACCAAACACTCAGCCCCCACACTAACTAGAGGGAGCTGCAGCCTTGTTGGAGCAACCCACAATAACCCCCACCAAGCCCACCCCCTGCCCTGGTTCCCATGCTTGTCAGTATGTACAGCAGACTGGTCTAATCTTCCCACATCCCATTCAGCTTTCATACATGTCGATGGCACTGAAGCCTATTTCAACCAGCCCCACCATCCAGCCCACAAACGTTGCTGGCAGGTGCCACTCTCTGTCTAGCCATGCCTGTCCCAGTCCGGATTTTTATGCTCACTAGTGGGAGTGACAACCTAGAGGGAAGTGCCCACTGTTTCCCTACTGAGCCCACTCCCTGATCTTGCACTATCCAGGTGGTTCTGTAATTTAACTTGATAGGATTTGCCCTGCAATCTGCATTTACATCTGTCAGCTGAAGCTGCAGCAAAGCCCATCCAACCCACGCTCACTCTGACTTACATGTATATCAGTAGGAACAGTCAACCCAGCCTGGCTTTCCCTTTCCAGCCCATTTGAGGCCAACAGAAGTTGTAGTCCTGCAGGGCCTAGTCTGCCCCCCATCCCAGCTTTCACATTCTCCCATGGGAGTGATGGTCCAGCAGGGGAGTCCCCCATAGCTTCCCCTACTAGGTACACTCCTGGGTCTTATGGGTGCTGGTTGGGCATTGTGGCCCAGTCTGGCATGGCCTGACTTACCTCAGCATTTGCCAGTGGGTGCTGTAGCATGGCCGGGTCTGGTCCACCCCCAATTCCAGCTTGAGGGTTACAGCCTAGCCCAGCCCAGCTGGCCCCCAGTCCTGGCCCTATCATGAACTGGCTTGTGCTACAGCCTGACCCAGCCTGACTCATGCTCTATTCTGGTGCTCGAATTCACCAGTGGGTGATATGAACTGGCCCAGCCTGGTTCACCCCAGACCTGAGCCAAACGAATGCTGGTGGGTACCATTACCTGGCCTGGTCTGGGCTGTTCCCTACCATGTTTCTTGCACTCACCTGCAGGGGCTATGTGCCGATAGAGGAGTTGCCCAAGCTCCTCCATCAGAACCTCAAGAGGAGGGCCTGGCAGTGTGGCCTAGTGGCTAAAGCCCTCGCCCTGAACATGCTGGGATCCCATATGGGCGCTGGTTCTAATCCCGGCAGCTCCACTTCCCATCCAGCTCCCTGCTTGTGGCCTGGGAAAGCAGCTGAGGACGGCCCAACGCCTTGGGACCCTGCACCCATGTGGGAGACCTAGGGCTCAAAGCCTTGGGACCCTGCACCCAAGTGGGAAACCTGAAAGAGGTTCCTGGCTCCTGGCTTCAGATCAGCACAGCACTGGCCATTGCGGTCACTTAAGGAGTGAATCATCGGATGGAAGATCTTCCTCTTCCTCTCTGTCTCTCCTCCTCTATGTATATATGACTCTCCAATAAAAATAAATAAATTAATTAAAAAAAAAAAAAACTAAAGAGGAAACTTGTTAGAACCGACTGAGTCCACACCCCAACCTTCTGACACAGGCCTGGAAGTCGCTGCCAGTTCAGCACCACGGAAAGCTCCCGGGAGCTATTCCCAAGCCTCTGGGTTCTGCCCTCTTGCTTGCCAGCCCTCCACCATCAGACTCCGCCCAGATTTAAAGCTCTCTGATCCCTGTTTAACAAAATGCAGGGGGTGTGGGACCGATGGACACCAGTGTGGCCTGGAAAGCATGAACACAGGACAGCCTGGTGGAGAAGAGGACTTTATTGGGATGTTAGTGGGGGAGACGTGGGAGGGTGAATTCCAGGGAACAACAGATACTGGGACCAAGGTGGTGGTTACTTTAAGGTGCAATAAATTAACTTACAAAATAAATTAAGGTGAGGGGGCTCCCCGTGGGAAGGCAGCTGGGAATATCTGGGGATTTCTTAGGGACAAAGATGGAATTGGAAAGGGGAAAGAATATCCAGCCCCCGTCACACAGGGAATGAAATGAGCTTTTCAAGACCCCACCCCACCCCCATTCTGGGCTGGGAGTCGGGTTCCCGGGGGGCTCCTGGGGAAGAGGGAAGGTATGGGCTCAGCTGAAGGCATGAAGGGGCCGGGCTCAGGGGCGTTCCTCTAGGAAGCGGTAGGTGGGGTTCTCGTAGCCATGCCGCTGCAGTTCCCGGAGCTGCTGCTCCTCCAGGGTCAGCATGGGGTCCACCTGCAAGATGGGTAGGGCCGAGGTCACAGAGCAGACCCCCACAGCCTGTGCATGCCCACCTGGCATCCTGGGCCTCACCTCTACCACTCCATGGCTGATGGCCCCATAGGGCTTTTTCTTGCGTAGCAGGAGTAGAGAGAGGATGATCAAGGAGCCTCCGCCTGCTCCCATGATCAGCAGCCCGGACACAGCCTCCCGGGACACACCTGTGCCTGCTGGTGCCTGCAGGGAGAGGCAGTGAGGCAGAGGACGACTGGGACACTCTTTGGTGTGGCTTCCGGAGTTACCCCTAGCTGCTGACCTCTGACCTCTCCCTGCAGGTGCCCAGGAGCTTCCTCCTCTTACCAGCTCGTCTCTCTGAATCTCCGATGAGTGGGAAGGAAAACCCCTCGCAATAGACACATTCACCTGTGGGGGTGGGGGAGGAAGAGGAGGAAGGATCATGGATCCAGGAGTCTAGTCCTGGCCCTACCCTACCCCAGATGCTCAAGAGGGCACCCCTAGTCCTCTTCCCTAGGAGCCCCAGTCCACATCCTCAGCGCATTCCCTCCCTCAGACTGGGGAGTCCAGCCCTGTGTCTCCTCCCACAGGAGCCCATGGCTCTGCCCCACTCACCTTTTGTTCATACTGCTCCAGGGGGCTCAGCTTCTCTTTCCCAGGGGATACAGTCTCTTGCTCTGCAGACCCTACCCCCCAGCCCCAAGTTCTTTCTCATCCTCAAGGATCCAGAGGGATGACACCCCCTGCTCAAGGAAGGAGTCAGAAACAGTGCCAGTGCCCCCTCCCCTGCAGGTCTGGAGTTGCCCGTATGTAAACCCCTTCCCAGGGTGAGTTCAGGAACTCAGCGGGCTCAGTGGCTGGGGTCTGCCCTGTGAGACACTCACCTTTTGGGAGAGTCACAAGGGTATCTGCTGGAAGCCGGCAGAGGTGAGGCGAGGAGAGGGTAAGGGGTGGGGAGGAGAGGAGGTGGTCTTCAGCGAGGAGTGGAGGAATGCCCTCGCAGGGTTGGGCAGAGAGGAGCAGGGGTCATGCAGAGTCCCCCTCCCGTGCCCCCACCCTGCATGACCTCGGTCACTCCTCCCTGTCCATTCACGGTGATGGCTCAGATGCTCACAGACATCAAGAGGTCACAAGTGACCCTCCCCGCCGTCTGGGCTCATCCCTGTACAGGTTCACTCACCATCCTTGGGATCTGGGGGCGTCAGTCCACCCTGGTCCTCACTGCTGCTCCCGGGGGCGGCAGCTTCCAATTCAGTGGGACCCAGGCGTTCCGAGTGGAGGAGTTCCTCTAAGAGAAACAGAGCAGAAAGTTAGTCAAGGTGCTAAGTACGGGAATGTCACAGAACAAAAAACGCCATCCCAGGAGGGACTGGGAGACCCGGCTGAGGCAGAGTCAGGATGGAGTGTGGACTAGCACCATGTGTGATCTAGGAAAGCAGCAAGTGGATAGCAGCATGGGGTGGGATGGGCGGGCAGAGCGGCAGTGACAGTCCATGAACGCAGCTTACTTAAACGCCAGGGGAATTATGTTTTGGCAAGGGCCACCCAGCAGGAAGTACCAAGAGATCTGAGAGTTGTGAGAGGTCACGGTTTCTGTGCTCTGGTCTGAGATGCAGACCCTTCCCCTCAAAGTTGGACTGATTTCTAACCAATGGGAAAACAGGCAGGACTGGTGGTGTGGCACAGCAGGTACAGCCGTCACCTGAAGTGCAGCATCCAATAGGGATACCGATTTGTGTCCCAGCTGTTCCACTTCCAGTCCAGCTCTCTGCTAATGTGTCTGGGAAAGCAGCAGAAGATTGTCCAAGTGTTTGGACCCCTGCCACCCACGTGGAAGACCCAGATGAAGGGCTTAGCTCCTGGCTATTGCAGGCATCTGGGGAGCGAACCAGTGAATGGAAGATTACTCGCTCTCTCTCTCTCTCCGTAACTCTATTTTTCAAATAAATAAGTAAATCTTTAAAAAAAAAAAAAGAAAAGAAAAGAAAAGGAAGAGGAGGGAGAGAAAAAGATGGACCCAAGTCTTAAGAATACCCGAGTGTATCTGCTTTCGTGCTAGAAGAAACCTGAACCACCACGTGTGACATCCAGCTCTGCTGCATGGAGAAGCCACACTGCATGGAGAAGCGAGGCACTGAGCTGACTTGGAGAGGGAGAGAGAAGCCATCTCGCAGAGCCTCCAGCCCCCAGAGGATCTGCTAGCTGACTTTACACACTTCTCTACCAGAAGAACCACCCGGCTGAACCCAGGCCAGCGGACAGGATGGTGAACAAACACATTGATCACCGGTTTCGATCTGTAAGTTCTGGGGGAGTTTGCTACACAGGAATACATAACTGAGATGGGTGGGAGGCGTTGGAAGGCATGGGTCAAGGTCTTCCCTGAGCAATCTGGAGTGAGGGGTTGGAGGTCATGGTCTTCCCTGAGTGATCTGGGAGCCGAGGGTAACAGACACTCACGGATCTGGGGCCGTAGCTCCTGGGCCAGGTGAGGGTTCTGGTCAAGCAGGCCCAGGCTCTGGTTCATCCTTTCCTCAATCACCTGAAGGTGAGTCTGCACCTGTGCAGGAGTGGACAACAAAGGTGACCAGAGCCATGCAGGCTGGAGAAGCGGACAGGGAGGTGGGATGAAGGGTCAGGGATCAGGCCAGGGAGGAAAGGAAAATGCCAAAGGAGAAACAGGACACAATGAGGAGGCTTGGGAAAGGAAATGAGGCGCAAGGCAACAGGGTGAAGTGGGGCAGAGGAGACAAGGTGGGACACAAGGAACGAGGCACTGGGGAACGGAAGGGCAGACAACAGGGTCTGAAGGACAGTCGGAGGAGAGCTCAGGGACAGGAAGTGAGACTGAGGGGGCTACAGGAAGGCAAGGCTTGGGAGTTCTGGAAGCACAGGACGGAGTATTGCACAAGCAGGAAGAGGAAAGAGGAGTCAGAATTGAGAGCATGGAACAGAGGAAGATAAGCGTGGATAGGGAGAAAGAGGGGCTATGGGTCAAGACAGAGGCGATGTGGGGATAGACAACTAGAAACCCAAGGGATAGAAAATGAACTTAAGGGATGGGAAGGGGTCTTGAGCTGCTTCTAAAGACAGAAAGAGGGTAAAAAGGACAGGGAAGGACTGAGGACTGGGATCTGAGAGTGGCAGAGCCTGGGGCGGGCACAGGAAAGTCCTAGAGCACCTGGAAGCGCATCTGCTGGGCCTTCTCAGGGTCCACGGCAGCTACGTGCTGGTAGTGCCGCAACGTGTGCCTCTGCTCCTTCTGCTCAGCACGCAGGTAGCGCCGTAGGGCCAACAGGACTCGCTCTGCCTGTGGGAGGCAGGGACACAGGTTGCCCAGGTCCACCCCAGCCCTTCTCACCCTCCGCTCTTTGTCCCTCATTCCCCCACACCCACTGCCACTATCCCCCTACCTGAGGCGGATCCCCCTGCAGCGCTGCCAGGAAACCTTCCAGGGCAGCCCGGCGCTGGTCATTGATGAGGGCAATGACGCGGGTGGCATGGGTCTCCACCAGGCGCTGTCGCTCCCCAGATACCTGCTCCTCCAAAGTCTGCAGAATGGACTGGAAGTGCTGGTATGGGGAGAGGATAGAGGGGGCAGAGGGCCAGAAGAGATGAAGATGGGTAAAAGTCTAGGCCAGAGAGAGTCTGGAAAGGCAGGGCTACAGGGACAAGCAGGTGGGGTGCTGCGGGTATCAGACCAGGGCAGAGGCCACTTGGAGTTGGATTAGGTCAAAGCAGATGGGCTGGACGGGTAGAAACAGGACCAGGTAGATTGGGGTGGGATTGGGTCCATGGGAACCCATTTAAGGGTACACATTATAAGACCAAGAAGGAACAATTTGGGAATGGATTTGGCCCCTGGTAAGAAGCCAAGTTTTGGAAGGAGGCTGGGCTCTAGCTCTGGAGCCGGTCACCCTGCAGACAGATTGGGCCTAGGTGAGACTCAGAGGAAGCTCAGGGTAACCTGAGTGGGGTCTCAGATCTCCACAGGGGGGGCACTGCTGATAAAGGGGTGTTAGGAGAGACCCAGAGCTGTGAGGCTGGGCTTAAGAAAGAGTGGCCAAGTAAGATGAGAGGGGCAGGCCCAGAGTTAGAGAGCAGGGCCTAACAAGACAGGCTCAGAGGGATCCAGCTCCCCAAGGGAGGGCAAGTTAAGACATGGGGTGAAGCTGCCCAAGAGGAGGAGGACAGTGTCAGGCAAAGGACAGGGCCATCTGTGGGGCAGGGCCAGGAGATGCTCCGGTAAGCAGGAAGGGGCCCAGGACACAGCCCCGCCAGCTCTCTGGGTAGAGTGTCCAGGCTTCCTACCTCGTTCAGTGCCTGCCTGTCGGCTTTAGGCAGATTCTTGGACTGGTTGTCAGCCATGGCCCACTCACGCATCACCTGGGGGTGGGGGAGGGATTTCAGCATTGCAGACTTCCCCCCTGCTGCCCCCAACACACACCTATCTGGTGAGTCCCTCCATCCTTCCTTAAGCCTCTGGAGGCTCCAGATCCCTTCAATCCCACTAGCTCTTGGGTTCCCAAAGAGAAATGCCCAGGGAAGTTTGAAGCAAGAATGTCACAGATCACAATTTCCATAGACTGGGACATCTCCGTGGGATTCTAGATGTGTCAGAAGTCCCTGGTCCTCTATAGGGGGCAGAGCTAGTGCTGAAGGCTCAAGGTCAAAGGTGGCTCAGGGAACCTCTGGAGGGAGTCTCAGCGGCGTTGAGGGGGCTGTGCAACGGAGGAGGGTCCCAGGTCCCCAGTGCCACTACCTCATTAATCTGACGCATCCTTCGCTCCTCCAGGTCCATCTTGGCTCTCAGGAAGCCTTCGTGCTCGCTGATTTCCCCAGGCATGCCAAAGTAAACATCCACTCCATCCGTGGGCCTTGGGGTGGGTGTGACTGCAAGAACCAGGAGCAAGTGGGCTGCAGGCCAACCTCCCCAGCACCCTTGCTGCCTGGAGAACTACATTTCCCAGGGGGCACACTGGAGACCAGCCTGCATTTGGTTTAATCCTAGCTGCTGCATGGCATCATAGGAGATGCAGTTCTGGACTGTATTTGCAAAGCTTAACACTTGTTTTCCAAATAGCCACTCCCCTTGCAAATGCCCCCAGATCATCCCATCCTTTTGAAATCCTCACCGGTTGGTTGGCCCGATCTTCCCTACTTTATGCAAAACCCTTTCCATGGCTTCCATTCCTCCCAACTGGGCCTCTCCCACTCAACAGGTCTCCCCTAAAGATGTCCTATCTCAAGGCTTTCCCCAAACCACCCTTGCTCTTGAGTGGGAAGGACTGGGGATCCAGAGACGGCCTCACCTTTGCTGACCACTGCAGGGGCGTGGGAGCTTGGCAGTGAGACCACGTCCTCGTCCCCTTCTTCCGCCTGTGGTGGCTCCACGAAGTAATCATCTACCAGCTGCGGGAAGGAGTCCTCCTCTTCCTCCTCCTCCTCGCCTCCCTCAGTTCTGCCCCCTGGGGGCCAGGAGCGGGTGGAGGGGTCACTGTGGGAGCAGAAGACCTTGGCAGTAAGAACCTGGCCAGGCCTGCAGGGTTGGGGGACTGGAGGGTTCCCACCCACTCACCCATCTGCCATCCCAGCTGGGTCAGGGGTCACTGGAGGCGGACAGCACACATACTCCACACCTCGGAACCGATCCGCGCCACAGGGCAGAAGCATGCCCGAGCCATGCAGGATGAGGCCTTGGGAGCTGCAAGCCTGCGGGAAGAGTGGGCCCAGATGCCAGGATTGTGGGGTCAGCTGCGGGGAGATGGGGAGTCTAGGGGCCTGGGGTTTGGGGGCCTGGAATCTGGGTTCTGGTGGAAGAGGCTGGGGGATGGAGTTCCTGGATCCCAGGGAGGGCAGGTGTCCTGAGGTCCAGACACCAGTAGAGATGGGGAGGAAGGGCCCTAACTCCTGGTTTCTGGGGGAGTCGGAGGAAGTGGGGTTCAAAAGGCTGTGCTCCTAACCTCCTGCGCCTCCTGATGCCTCCGGGCGGAACTCTCACACTGGTCCATGCGTTCCTGGTGCAAGAACCGGCAGCCTTCGGGCACCAGCAGGGCCTCGCTCACAAACTCACCCGCTGGGAGAGGGAGGGAGACCCCAGTGAGCCCCTCCCACAGCCACCAGCCTTGTAATCTAGAGAATTTCGTCACCAGAGGCTTCCTTCTCCACTCTATTTGGGTCCCAGGCACCCAGTGTCCAAAATCTCACCTCCCACCTCTGGGACCCCCATCAGCCACCACCCCGCCGCCCCCCAGGACTCACGCAGGCAGCGGAAAGGCACGACTTGGTGGTGGGGATGGACGCAGCGGCCACTCCGCACACCCCCGCACCAGCGCTCCATGGGGATGGCCTGGGTAGCCTGCTCGACACGTGCAATCTGCAGTTCCGGATACATCTGGCGGCAGCAGGTGGGAGGTCATGAGCCCACTGTCCCACCCGCCACCAAGTCACACCATGGTTCCTGTCCCTTTATTAGTCATGGGTGTTGGTAAGGACATCTTCCTGGGTTTTCCGGCTTCTCAGTAGAACCATCCTTAGACGTCAGTGCCGGAGGGCCCACTAGCCATGCCTCCAGGAGCTCCCTGCTGTCCTCATTCTCTCTCCCACCTGCCCTGCTAAGCATTCTAAGGCCACGTCCCTGCCATCCCTCCTACCCAGACAGGATCTTCCTTTATAAAGTCCTCCCTGCCTCTTTGTGCCTTTCCATAGGTACAGCCCTCAGCCCTCCACGCCCCCATTGGGCTCCACCCCCTGCTCCACCCTGGCTCCTCTGGCCACTCCCAGCTGTGCCCCTTACTCTTTACAAAGCCCACTGCAGATGGCCAAACACTGGCTTTTTCTCTGGCCATCTTCCTTACCAAGCATCCCCTTTGCTTGACTTAGGTTCTACGCCAACCTTGCCACGTCTATGTCGGTCACGCCCCCTTCGAGTTCCTAGCCCGCATCTCCCCAGACCACACCTTCTGGAAGGTGGCTTCCCAAGGCTCCTCCGCCCGCACCTCCGTTCCCCTCCCCAAACCTCCCCGCACCCTCCTTCTGGCCACGCCCCTCATGCGGGGCCTGCCCACCTGTCTGCAGTACTCGAGCGCGCGCTGCGGGTCCCGGAGGCAACGCCGAGAGAGCTGTGGGTCCGGCTCCCAGCGGCCTGTGCGCAGGTCCCGGTGAAGGGTTAGGCGCCCACATAGTCCTGCCACCTGGGCTGACCCCGGGGCCTGGCGGTGGAGACGGAGGAGACAGTAAGGACCCGGAGGACGTTTGCAATTTGGATCCCTTTTGCTCCCTTGGACACAAATATGCAGCTACCCCCCCCACTCCGTGCCAACCCCCTCCTCCAAGCACCACTCTCCAGCCTGCGTGGAGGCAACGTTCCCTGGGAAACAGCTCCCATGGGGCGGGGGCGCCCCAGCTCTCCCGTTACTATGGCGATCCGGGTCCCTGTCTCTCTTCACCCCGCCCCCCCCCCAGGGATTCTCTTAGCCTTGTTGCTTTGGAGACAGGCTCCACCCCCACCCCAGCGCAGCCGCACTGGAGCCCGAAGGGGTTAAACCTAATCGCGAGGGAGGAGGCGAGAACCCAGGCGTCCTGGCCCCTCCTCCCTCCAACCCCATCTCCGACTCCCGTTGCAAAGATGCCGAGCCCTGGCTTCAGGGCCCTGCATAGCTGGACACCAGGTCCTTGAGGACTGGAGAGCTCCATCCTGATTGCGGGGGGAGCAGGGGGAGGGGCGGTGTCGGCCGGAGGCTTGGAAGGCAGCCGGGGCTCTCTTGCGCATCCCTAGGATGCAAGGGGCCTGGATCGTTGGATTCCAGGGCCTCGCTGCCTGGTGGGTGTTGAGCTCGGGTGGGAAGATGGGCTGAGTCGCCTTGGGTGAGCGAGTCCAGACGGGGTGGCCTGACTTCTGGGACCAGGGGGTCTGGGAAAGCCGGTTCCAATGTTAGGGGTGGGAGGGGGCTGGGGCGTCAGGTGGAATGTTAAATTCATGAACACCTGGTTCTGTTAGGGACGCCTCGGGGCCAGCTGCCCTGATGGAAAGAGACTGCGCTTTCTGCCCTGGACATGTCCGCGGTCGGGGTCCAGAGGCCCCCATCCCCGTCCCCACCCCTTCCCCCCTCCACGACCCGGCCCGGCCTCACCTCGGCCGCGCCGGGACTCCCACCGGCCAGGCTCCCGACGGCGAGCTGCGCGCGCAGAAGCAGCAGCAAGACTGGCAGCGACGGCAGGCCCCGGCGGCGGCCCAGACCGCGAGCGGCGGGGCTGGCGGGCCCCATGTCCCGGCCCTTGCTCCCTCACGTCCCCTGCACTCCCCGCCTGGCCCGGCCCGGCCCCAGCGGTGACAGGAGCTCCCAGCGCCGCCGCCGCCGCCTCCTCCCGCCGCCCCCGGGCTGCGCCGGCGCCGCCAGCCCCGCCCCGCGCCGGCCCCGCCTTCGCGGCCAGGACAATAGCGCGGCGGCTGTGCGCAGAGTGGGGCGGCTCGGGAGCCCCGCGTGGGAGCTGCGCGAGCCCCCGCCCCTCGGGAGCCCTGGAGGCCCTCCCCTTGCAAAGGCCCAGCCTGGAGTCCGGGTGAACTCTTGGCCCCTAGGGATTGGGGAGATTAGACTCTCCCCACTCCCACCCACAGTCAGCTGGGTCCTTCTCAAGGGGTGCCACAACAGCGGTTCAGGCCCATTGGTCTCCCTGATCTGGGCCCACCTCCCTCAGGAGATCGGGCCTGAGGCTAGATCGCTGGACCTTCAGTTGCTGACACAAGGACCCTAAACCAAGTAAAACCCCAGGTCTCCCTTTGTTTTCATCCACTTGAAAGCTGGAGCAACAGATACTGAGAGAGGTCTTCCACCTGCTGGTTCACTCCTCAGATGATGACGCTAACATCCAATGCTGGGACAGGCAGAGATCAGATCCTCAGAAGTCCATCCAGGTTTCCCACATAGGTCGCAGGGACCCCAACATTTGCCCCACGGAAGCCGAATAGCCGAGACTGCAGCCCTCACTCCAACATGCGGCTGGGAGGTGGTCGTTTCAAGAGGCAGCTTAACCTGATCCACCACCGTGCCTGCACCTCACGTTGCTTCTTTCAGGGTGACCTGAGTCAGGCATTCAGCGTCACACCCATCAAGGGATGCAGCACCTCAGGACAAGGGTCTGGATCCCCAGCTTTGTTTTAAGGCCCCCCGAGAAGTTCCATCTTTCCACTTTTTCAAGTTCCCCAGCAGGGCTTGCTGCTTTGTCTCCTCAGATGAAAATTCTGTCCCCCACCTGGGCAGACCTGGGATAGCTCCACATGGCAGGGTTGTGTGCATGTTTCTGTTGGTGGGTGCAGGTGTGTGTGTGTGACCCTGGATGTTCATGACTGTGAAATAAAAGAGCCTAGCATGCCGACCACACAGCAAGGGTCTGAGAGGCAGCTCACAGGTTAGCTTCTACAGCCACCTCCTAGCTAAGAGATTTCCTCTTCCTCCGCGGAGTCATCCCTAAGACACAGTGCCTCTTTTACTCTTTTTATTATTAAACATAAATATTCTTCTTCTCAGACATCCACTCACCCCCCCCCACACACACACACAAGGATAGTACTCATCCTATTCCCACTCCCTGGGTCCAGTTCTTTCAGGGTCTTTAAGGAAGGCAGAAGGAACCTACATGATGGCCATGTTGGCTTCCCCAGGCGGAAGGGGCCATCTTGGCAAAGCCAGGTACCCCTCAGAATGAGGCAATCCGGAGAAGGGGCAGGAGTGGGGCAAGGGCTAGGCCTTTTCATCCGTCTCCTGCCACCTTTCTTCTCAAGGCAGGTGGTCATCTTGAAATATCTTCCCTCTGTGCCGGAAGTGACTTCTGTCCTGCCCCCTTTGTCCACCACCCTGTCCCTCTCCAAAGGTCCTATCTACCTTGTTGAATCTCATTTCTCCTGAGAAGAAGGTGGCCATCCGACTCTCACTGTTAGGCTAAAATGATCCAGCACGCCACAGTGTCCAATTCTGGGAGAGGAAGGTAGCCCACTTGTCCTGGTTCTTGAAACATCAGGACAACTTGTTATGGCAAGAAGATTCTAGCACTCTCCTGTTGGAAAGTTGTCACACATGAGTCTGAAGTCGTGGGTGGCTGGGGGTGGGGAAGGCAGCATACGGGAAGGGGGTCGTCCCAGAGGTCAGATCTGGAGTTCCAAAGGATGTGGGTTTAACGTAACTGGTGAAGGCGCGAGGATGGGGCGTGGTGAGATAGCCCGCCCGGGCTCGATACAGTCTGCATGGAGGCATCACATCCAGGTGTGGGTTGAAGTCATAGTAGGTAGGGGTCCCTGGAGGTCCCAGCGGGGAGGTGGGTGGCAAGAAGAGGCCTCCTCCAGGAGCTTCACCCAGGCTCAGGCTCACACTGACTCCCCGGACCTTGTAGTAGCCGTTGGTTGGGTCCTGAGGGGTTGGTGAGGGATGTCAGGTTATACGCCACTGAAAATCACAGATGGACACCTCCAAAGAGATGGAGCTGGTCTCAACAGAGATAAAAGCAACAGGAGCAGGCAGAGACCCTGAAGCAAAGAGACACCCAGAATGGCTGAGGGACAAACAAGGAACAGCAACTCGAACCAAAGGGGCAGAAGAGGGTCACCAGAGAAAGGCAGAGACAGAAGGCTATGGGGCTGCTGAAGGGTAGCTTTACGGGAGAGAGACTCACATACCAGCCAAACAGCCCAGACTTGGATGCAACCATTGTGGTTGCCAGGACAGACCTGGATCCTGTCCTCATTCAAATCCCAGGCGAAGGGAGCCTGGGGGTTCAGCACTGTGACTGGGGACAGCGACTGTGGTTGCTAAAGGTGACAGCTTCAGCATGGGATGGGGCTGGTGCCAGAAATCAGAGGCCTGAATGGTGGGGTAAAGGGGTCAGACTGTCCATGGGGCAAGTGTGAGAAGGAGAAATGTTTGAACTGAGATCAAGGAGGAAAGGAGGGGATGGTGGTAAGGAAGGTGGGAGAGTTTCAGGCACATAGAACAGCTCTGGTGAGGCTCAGACAAGGGAGGGCTTGGAACTGGGAGCTGTCCTGAGACGAGACTGCAAAGGCTCAACAGTGTGGGGAGACAGAGGAAGGCCAGCAGGTGGAAGGGGCCTATGGGATGGGCGTGGCGGTGAGCCAGGGTGATCAGCAGGCCTGAAAACTGACTGGTGGGGAAGGTACGGGCCGAGTGAACCCCAGTTGAGGACTCGAGACAAGAGACCAAGGCTGGAGCAGGTGATTAGGCACAGTCAGCTGTGGCTGATCAACTGGGGCTGCAGAGTGGAGCGAGATGGCCCAGGAGGCAGCAGGAGGAAGCTGGGAGGGGCTGGATGCCACTCTAGGGAAGCCAGAAGGGAAAACGCAAAGACCGGAGCAGAGAGCTGCTCTTTGCTACCTGCTCACCTTGGTCTCCAGCGCCCCTTCCTCACCCAGAGCCAGGTCACTGCGGTCATTGTGCATCAGGGAGCCCTGGAATGGGGGACTGACTCAGTGAGAGGCAGTGACTCCAACCCCACAGCCAGAGCCCCTTCCAAGGACTTCACCTTCCGGCAGGAGAGCCCCAGGAAAGTTGGGAGCTAGGAGTTTGAACTCAGGACAATAGTCAGGGGGACAAACCTGGTCTGGGGAGTAAACAGAGCAAGGGCAAATGTGGCCCCAGGAATATGACTGAGGTCCCTGTTAGGAGGGGGTGGGGGAGGTTCCATTTGAGGTTGGAGGATGGGGCCAGATTGGGATTGAGTTACTATTTGGGTCTGGGGTCAAAGTCAGGTCCAGGAGACCTGGCATCCTACCGGCTCCTCGCTGCTGCCTGTCTCCTCCTCTGGGCACCTGGAACTGGAGTTGTCACTGCTGCCCAGGACACGTACCAGCTGCTTTTGCTTGGAGAAAGAGGCTGAGGTAGGGGCAGGGAGGGGCCAAGGTAAGCCAAAGCAGGAGGGACAGAGTACTTGGGGTTCAGTAAGTGGGAGGGATGAGCAGGGGAGCTGGGGGGACACTGAAAACCTTGGAAGGGAGTGTGATGCTGAGATGGAGTGGGGACACAATGTAGAGGGGAGGAGAAGCCCCACACGGAGGCTAGACAGAGAGGGTCTGGGGCCAGGCCCCCTGATCCGGCCAAGTCAGTGAGGGCAGTGCAGGGGTGGGAATGGGGGCCTGGGCGGGCTCCAGCCTGGACACTTGCCATGGCGCCAGCAGCACAGGGCCACTCCAGTGATGATCATCAGGAGAGTGACAGCTGCAGAGGCCACTCCGGCTACAAGCCGCAGAGTGGGCAGCAAATCTGTGGGATGGAGGGGATGTCCTGAGATGGGCAGGCAGAAGACCTGCAGGACAGGGACTCGGGTTTGAGGTCCCTGGGTTCAAATGATAGCCAGGGCAGGTGACCCCCAGGGCTCCTGGTCCCCCCAGTATGGGATTCAAGGGCCCATAGACTTGTTATTCCCCACCTTTGAAAGTATGTGATAGGCTCCCTAGGTTAGAGAGTCTTAGGGCTCCCAGAGTCTTCTTGGCAGTTCCCTGTATCTGAAAAGTCTCTTTGGAAGACCTAAGTGTGAGGCAGAGGCTCTGGGGTTTCCAACTTTTTTGTGTGTGAGAGGATTTATTGGGGGTGGGCTTGGGGAGTTTGAACTCTCAAGGTTTGGAGTCTCTGTATTTGAGGGTTCTAGGTTTGGGGATCCTCATGTTAGATCGGGGGTCTGTGGACCCGGTCCCACCTCTGCGGCCCAGGGTGACCCGAGCGCGGGCCTCGCCCAGCCGGTTCCGTGCACTGCAATTGAAGCCTTTGTTGAAGTCGGAGTCCTCCGTCCCGGAAATGTGTAGCACAGAGACCCAGCCAGGACCCTCCGGGGCTGGGAAAGTCTCCACCAGGAACCGGCCCCGCGACCCTGCCTCCAGGAAGCCCTCATCCCAAGACCAGACCTAGGGACACAAACCGCGGAGCGCTTGAGGAGACCAAGGAGCCGGGAAGAGGTGGGCGGCCGCAATGGTCACAGTCGTTTCGGGGATCTGCGTGGGGACGGGGCTGTGTCAGGGGTCTTGGTCGGGAGGCCTTTGCCTTACCACAGCCTCCGGTGCGGGAGAGGCGAAAATCAGACACTGCAGGCGGGCGGGTCCCCTCAGGAAGGCGGGCGCGGAGCGCAGGGCGGTCACCACAGGGGGAGCTGCGAGGAGACCCCAGTCACTGACAGGAAGGGTCTCGCCCTCCGGGACTCTCGGCTAACCCAGGCCACACCCCTCAACCAAAGGGCAGTCCCTCTAAGCCACGCCTTCAGCGGGTCCGACTCCAATCACAAGGCCCCGTTGCCTATAAATCTTCCAGGGCCACGCCCACTGGCGTTAGATCCCACCCACGCCCCGACCCGGGCCACGCCCCCTGGGGCTTCTATAAAAGCCCGTGTGCGTTGCCGCACCATTCACCGTCAGCCTGGCGTCCGCAGCTCCTCCTCCGCGCCCCGAAGGGCCGGGCTCTGCTCTGCACTGGTAATCGCCAGCGTCCTCCGGCCCCACCGACGGGAGACGCAGCATGGGGCCGAAGGCAAGCACCTGGGACAGGGGAGAGGTGTCAGGGTCAGGGTTTGCGAGGGAGCCAGGTCCAACGCCAGCCACCACGATAGGACCCAGAGGGGCCTTCACCTGTGTGCCTCCTCGGCGGGTCCAGGTTATCCGCGGGAGCGGGTTCCCCCGCCAGGCACAGCTGAAGGAGGCGTCTTCCCCCACATCCACGGACATGGGCACCGGCCTTGCCTCCAGAATGGGCCCAACTAGGGGAAGGGGAAGAAGGGGTCACAAAGAAGGCTGAAGTAGACTCCCTGACCCAGGCTCAGAAGCATCTTCGCATGCCCCCGTCCACAACACCCTGCCCACTTGGGCACAAACCTTGCAGAGACCAACTCTGCCTGAAGTCTACCTGGATCCCACTCTCCATTACCACCCGGGTCTCCAGCGCATTGCACCCAGCCCACCTTGGCCACACCCCGGCCCTGCCCTGGCTCACACATCACGTCCAGGGCTGTGCTGCGGTTGGCGCTCCCCACGGCGTTGCTGACCTCGCAGGACACGGGCTCGGTCAGAAACGAGGCATCTGCCACAATCTCCAACCTTGGCCCGCGGGCGCCCAGCACCGGAGAGCCCCCTTTGGCCCACCTGCCAAGATACGAGGACAGCTGCTGTCAGTGTTGCCCCAGCCCTGCCCAGGCCTGTGCCGGGGGAGAAGTGAGTGGTTTCTCACCTGTAGCCGGTGACCGGGGGCTGGGCCGTGGCCTGGCACACGAAAGTGACCTTCTGTCCCTCCTGCACCGAATGCGGCTCCACCGACAGAGTCACCACAGGCGGGTCTGGGATGCGGGGAGGGAGGGGACGGTGGTCAGCCTGGACAAGGAATGGGACTTCTCCATCTCCACCGCTGGCCAGTCAGTCCCTCCACCCCAGGAAGCTGCCTCCCTTGCTCCCACCTCCCTCTGCATCTGGATTTTCACTTCCTAATTCCCTCAGGTCATTCTTCCATCGTCTTCCACTCTCTCACACCCAGGAGTCCAGCTCCCACCCCTGCCACCTCTTCCCCAGGGTCACTGACACTCACACTGCAGACTTAATGTGACAACTGTGTCCCTCCCTGTGGGCAGGGCCTGGCTCCAGGCCCGGCAGACCAAAGTAGCTCCATCATCATGGCTGGAAGGGGTCAGAAACAAGGTGCTCTCCACCGACCCTGTGGCTCTGTCCTTCTGCAGAATCTGGAAGTGACAATATGATGTGGGGCTGATGCTACGGTGTAGCTGATAAAGCCGTCGCCTGCAGTGCTGGCATCCTATATGAGCTCCAGTTCAAGTCCCAGCTGCTCATCTACAGATCCAGCTCCCAGCTAACGTGCCTGAGAGCGCATCGGAGGAGAACGGCCCACGTGCTTGGGAACCTGCACCCACACAAGAGACCAGGAGAAAGCTTCTGGCTTTCAGTTTTGAACTGGCCCAGCTCTGGCCATTGTGGCCATTTGGGGAGTGAACAAGTAGGTGGACTCTCTAACTCTGCCTTTCAATAAATTGTTTTGTTTTAGAAAGGAAACTAACAAACTTAGTCTACCCTATGGGCTAGTCACTCTTTCAGTTACTTAGCATCAGTCAATGAGCCACTGGCTTGACCAAGATTGGAACCCAGTGGCCTGGCTCTAAACTCCTTCCCCAGAACCACACCCTAAGTATGACAATCCCTGGACCCCGTCCTTCGTGCCCCCTTCTCTAGATAAGCCTCTGGTCAGAGTGGACTCAAGTTTTCACGGACAGGGCTTGACCTGGTGGAAGGTGGTCCCATCCAGCCGGACCCCGTCTCGGAACCACAGTAGCTCAGGACTGGGGCGGGCTTCCCCTCGGCTCCGACACGTCAGGTTCGCAGGAGCTCCAGCCACCAGAGACACAAGGGGGCCGCCCAGCACCTGGGGGGGCTCAGGGGGCACTGCGGGAGGGTATCGGAGGTTAGGGACCCTGATCTTTTCCCTTGGCTCCCCCCTCCCCACCCCACCCCAGGGGCAGGGTACCAGAGGACTGGGTCCTCACCTAGCACGTGCAATTGGGCAGGGCGTGATCGGAGACCGGCTTGGGTGGCCTGGCACTCGTACAGTGCTTCATCCTCAAGCTCCACGGGCCTGATATGGAGATCATGCTGGCCGCTGGCCACGTTCCCCGATATCCAGTACCGGGACCATCCTGGGGCAGGGAGGAGGCCGGCAGTCCAGGCTTGTGAGTGGCTTGCCTCTGGTCTCCAGGTCCAAACCCATCCCACACAGACATTACTACAAATGTGCACTGCCCCCTGCCGGTAAGTCTTGAGCTCCCAGAAAAGGAGGGAAATGATTGCCTTAATGGACACGGGGTGAGAAGGCAGAAGGCAGAGAAGCATTCTGTCCACAGAGCTGGTGATCTGGGCGCCTCCTTCAGGGTTAGTTGTCAACTTTTCCATTTAGGCTCCCTGCACTTTTCCTGCATTTATGCAATATTTTACAATGTAAAAACCCTCAACACCGCTGGTCATTCCCAATCATTGGGCCTCACCAATGTTACACGGAATTCTTTCTTTTCTCAAATCTGAAAATAGCACAAGCTTCTGGAACAGCTCAAGGCCAGATGCTCCCAGCCCAGCCCCTTTCAGGAATCAGGAGAACAGCCTTACCTGGCAGGTCCCGTTCACCCCCTAGAGCCAGACCATCCTTTGTCCACTGAACTAGTCCCCGGTAGGCTCCCAGGGCACAGGGCAAGCGGGCTTCGCCTCCCAACAGCACCACCAGGTCCTCTGGCTGTTGCAGGAAGTGGGGTGAAGGGCCTAGGAGAATGGGGAGGGGGTGGGCACCAGAGATAAACTTTGCACTGTCAGTGCCCAACGCCCCATTGCCTCTTCCCTTAGCCCACGAGCATTCAGAGTTGCTTGCTCAGACCCTCGAGTCCAACCCTCTACTCTACTCCCAGTTGGCTTCTCCCAGTAAGGTGACAGAGAGTGCAAACAAGTGTCCCCCGCGCCCCCAATCGGCCCTGCTTTCCCCTTGCGGTACCTGCGCGCACTCTGAAGCCGAGGAAGAGCGCGAGGAGGGCGGGGACCAGCATCCTGAGCGCTGAGTGCGTGTTCGCCCAGCTCCGCGGGACCTGCCGTGGCCGCTGGCTTCCCTGCTAAGTTCTTCCTCCGCAGGAAGCCCCCGCACACACCTCCAAACCTTGGTCTGGAACCCGCTTAGTACCGGACGCTTTGGCCCAGGCTAGAACCCCCTATCCACAGCCCGCAGTCTCCTCAGGTCGGCTCATCTACAGCCTCCGACTCTCTCTAACGCCTGCCTGCTGGGTGCGAGAGCTCTCGGGCGCCTAGGGACCCCGGGGAGGAGCCGGGCCCCGCTCGCTCCGCCCCGTCTCGCCCTGGGAGACTTGCCCTCTTCCCATTGAGAAACTCCGCGTCCGAGACGCCGATTAATGGAGGTTGGCGGGGCGGGGCTCAGCAGGCGGGCACCCCTACCCAAGTCGGGTCCAAGAAGGTGGTCTCGCCGGAATTTGACACCTGCGCCCTGCAGAGGTCTGGAGTGAGGAAGTCGGAAGGGAGGGAGTGGAAGAAACTTGCTCAACCCAGGGCCTGCAGGGACTGTGGCGAGTGGAAACGGAGCTATAAATGGGAGCCCCTGGGGTCTCTCCAGCTTCCGCGCCCTGGGGAGGCGGGCACTGTTCTCCTCTGGGTCTGCAGGTCGGGAAGAGGGCACCAGGGTGCCTGGGGCACAGCTGCGACGCCTGAGAAGGGGGTGGAGGGCTGCTGATCCCTCCTGGCCTCAAAACTCCCTCCTCAAAAACACCGCTTTGTTACCCTGTGTTAACGCGCAAAGCCTCGCGCCTCTTTAGACCGGGACACTCAGACCCGCAGCCTCTGCTCTCCCAGCACCCTGCCGTTGGCGGCGCAGCCCCCCTCCCCATCCCTTCCTCCTGGTTGCCGGGAGACGGAGGGGAGGCGGCGGAGGCCGGGGCTGGGGCAGGCGAGGAGGCTGAGAACTGCGCAGCTTGTCCTGACTGCTCCAAGCAGCCCAGCTGGGGCGTTCCCACGCCGCCGCAGCTGGCCTAGCAGGTGGGCGGGATCCTGAGCTGAGAGAAGGGCTGGGGGCTGGGTCCCGCCATCCGCCAGGCACGCCCTGTAGAGCCTGGGATTTATAGTCAGGTTCTCAGCTGTTGCTGGAGTCAGACCCTTGCGTTCCAGATTGTCACCTGTTGGGATTTGCAGAATTGTGAATACAGGGGTGGCTCAGACCTCTGCTAGCTCACAAATGGACGGGGTGGGGGGTGGCGGTGCCATCCCTCAGTTCCCAGCCCCTCCCGCCCTACCACCACTACATCTGCTGCATGGTGAGGGCGGGAGAGGGCGACAGGGATCAGGTTATCTGGTTTTAAATCTCAGACTCAGTGGATTTAATCAGCAATCTCCCAGGAGGATTTGAAAATCGAATGTGAACATCTGTCCTAAGTCCTAAGACGCAGGTGCTTCTGGGGTTAATCAAAAGGGGTTGGGAGGCTGGTCTGGAGCCCCAGACCTTAGTGCTGGGGCTTAAACTCCTCCTGGCTTCTGTGTTTACGGAGTTGGTACTTGGTGTTTGGAATTGGCCGGCCTTGGAGCCGGGCCTTCTGAGCTCGTGAGGCTGTTTTTCCAGGCACCTGATGCTACTTTCCCTTCCCAGGTCCCTGGGGCCATGGGCATGGAAAAAGGACGAACCTGGGGTCCCAGGAGCATGCAGAGCTGGCCCAGCTGGGGCCGAGGTAGAAAGGGTGTGCTGAGAGCTCCCCATGCTGTTCCCCAGGGTCACCATCTGGTGAGGGCCCCATGACGGTGTCTCCTTTCTCAGGAAGGGTGGGGGTGCAGACAGGAGAGCAAGTGTGAAAAAGACAGCAAGGACTCCATATAGAGGTGGGGGCGGACAGGAGTGGGCTCAGGCCGGATGTCTTGTCCTGGAGGAGGACCAGGGGAACCCTGAAGGGGGGCTGGGGGAGGATGAGCAGGTCAATTCCTGCGGGAGATAAGCAGACAGAAGCGGCTTATCCCGCAGCAGCAGCGTGCTTTTGCAACACTGGATGGGGAGGCAGGCAAAGCAGCATATGGTTCTAACATCCCGGGAGGCAAAAACCGGGGAGTCCCAGAGCCTGAGAAACAAGTAAGAGGGGGAGAGGCACAAGCAGAGGCTGGCGGAGGACAAATATTTCTTAGACTTGGGATGTGTGTGTGTGCAGGAATTGGGGTTGGGGGAGTAACAGGGATGAGAAGAAAGAGAGAAAAAACAGAGGCAAGTAGAGGCAGAGGGGCAGGGGAATGGTTCACGGCTGACCGAGGTTGAACCACTCAACACAGTGAGAGATGAAAACATACAGAAAGGTAAATCAAGACGGATAGAGGAAAGCAGGGAGAGACACAGAGGAAGAGAGAGAAGATGGGGAGGCAGCCAGACATGGTGACAGAGGACACTCAGCTGGCCCTTGCCAGAGGGCACCTGTGGTAGACTAGCAGCCATACCCACCATGAGGCTGGTACACTCAGCCCCTCCCACCTGCTCCGCCCGCCCACACCTGTGCACTTCCACGCTCTGCATGTGCCTTCGTGGGGCACGACCCTCTCTCTCCTCCCCTACACACATACTCACACACACCTGTCTCGTACTCACAGGTACACACACAACTTCACTCACTTCTATACTCTCTAGCTTTCTAGCACATTCCCCAGCAGAGATCCCTGATGTCACGGAGAGGATGTCTGCAGGTGGGGGGTGGGGGGACAGGACTTGCCAAGGTCACGTGTAAGAGCAGGAAAAAGCTGGGGCACACCTCCCCATGCCAGCCCGGCTTTCTGCTTGCCACGCCTACCTCTTCTCCCATACTCCCCTGCCCAAGCCAGGCCCACGGAGCCAGGGGGCTGGGGAGGTGCCGAGGAATGTGCTTGGCATGTGCTGACGGGGGGATTTCACACTCCAGCTGGACCGGGAGGAGCCTGCCCAGCACAAGCAGGAACTAGAGGGTCCCAAGGATTTTCCTGGACAGAACCCGGTTCTGCCGCTGGTAGACTGCATCAGGCTCCTGGGCTGTGAGCAGTGTTGGGGGTGGCAGAACATGGCTGGGGGGCTGGCAAGAAAGAAGAGAAAGTGACTGTCAAGGCAGGGAAAGAGAGAGAGAGAGAGATCAAGGGTGGGTGGGGGACTCAGCCTTCAGGAGATAAAGAAACAGGGAAGGAAACTCAGGGAGAGGAAGACTGGGGAGTGAGGCAGAGGGAGGAGACAGATAGACAATTCTCAGGCGAGAGGAAACCAGAGAGAGTGAGAGAGATGGCAAAAAGAGAAACAAAAAAGAAGGCAGCAGACAGGTCAGGGGAGAGGGCCCCAGCGGAAGTCGGCAGCAGACGCCAGTGGCAGCCCATGGGCACCCGACACGCTGTGGTCAGCCGAGCTGGGATGGCCCTGGGGACTGCCATCAGGGGCACACGGCTGCTCCTGAAGCTGCTGACTGCAGGTGAGTGTGGCCCTGGCCTGGCAGCTGGGGCTGCCATTTAATCCCCATGCTCCCCAGGCAGCCCTTGTGTCCCTTCCTACTGACCCTCTGTGTCCCCAGGTCTGGTGCTGCCGAGCCCAGCTTCAGCCTCCCGGGGCTTCTGGGCCCTGCCTATGAACGTGACAGCTGTGGAGGGGACCGAAGTGGAGCTGCGGTGCGGTGTCAGTGCCCCTGGCAGTGCGGTCCAGTGGGCCAAAGACGGGCTCCTGCTGGGCCCTGACCCCAGGATCCCAGGCTTCCCCAGGTATCGCCTGGAAGGGGATCCTGCTAAAGGTGAGGAAGTGGACCCTGAGCTCCCACCCTCTGGGACCACCCTGAGCAGAGACTGGTGGCCCTGACCCCGGGCCCCACCCACAGGGGAATTCCACCTGCACATCGAAGCCTGCGACCTCAGTGATGACGCCGAGTACGAGTGTCAGGTGGGCCGATCTGAGACAGGCCCTGAGCTCGTGTCTCCTAGGGTGATCCTCTCCATCCTGGGTAAGGGTGAGGGACCCCCAAGATCCAGGAGCTCCCCCCCCCTCACTCCCACCCCACGGCACAGGACTCCAACTCAAAGCCTGGATCTGCCTCACTCATGTGGCAGAGGCTTACCCCACACCCGCTCCACAGTTCCACCCAAGGTGCTTCAGCTGACCCCTGAGGCAGGCAGCACGGTCACCTGGGTAGCTGGACAGGAGTACGTGGTCACCTGTGTGGCTGAAGACGCAAAGCCAGCACCTGATATTACCTTCCTCCAGAGTGAGTGTGTGGGAACAGGCAGGGGTGCTATGTGGAATGGAGAGGGGGTGTGTCCAGTTGCTCTCCTGGGAACCCCAGAACATATGTCAATCCCCAAGATGGGAGGGGTCCCAGGAGCACATTGATGGGGATAGCAAGGCCAGCATGGCGCTTGGAGGATGGGAGGGGATATCTAGAAAACTGCAGTAGGTCGAAGTGGGCAGCTTGGGTGATGATGAGGGTGCATGCACACCCACCAAGATGGCAAGGGGCAGAGGAAGAGCCAGGGATCCTCTCGTGGGCTCCAGGGTCCACGGAGACCTAACGTGATGAAGGCCTACTCTGCAAGACCAAGAGGGAGGGGACATTGTATCTTTCCAGAGTGTCTGGTGTGTGTGTTGTGCTGTTGTGTTACGGGGGGAGGGGGGGGACCTTGCACCCCTTCAGCCCTCTTGTCACCTCAAGGTGGACAGGTGGTATCAGACGTCTCTGCCAATGTGAATGACGGATCCCAGGAGAAGCTCTTCAGCACGGAAGCCACAGTCAAGTGCGTGAGTGGGGATGTCTCCCCTGCCAAAGCCCCCACATTTCCCCAGAAAAACAAACCTATACTTCAGGGGTCCAGGCATGAAAACCTGGACTAGATGTGCCCATCCAGTGCCTCACCTGGACCCTCCAAACTTCTTGGGAGCTCTGGTTCCAGTCTGTCAGACCTCAAGATTTTGGCTAGATGCAGGTCCAAACTCTCACTGCTGACTCACCGAGACAATCTCTCTCCCAAGGAGCACTGGATCCCAGAAAAACCACCATCCCCCAAATTTAAACCAAGCATGGGAATCTGAGGTCTACACTGCTCCGCCCAAATTCCCCAAACTTCTCTGACCCTGAGCCACTACCTTCCCATCGCAGAGTGATCCCCCAGCACTCGGATAACGGGCAGTTACTGGTCTGTGAAAGTTCCAGCCCGGCTCTGGACACCCCGCTCAGGGCTTCAATCACCATGAACATCTTGTGTGAGTAAAGGATTCAACCTGTCGCAGGCACTGAGGGTTGGGCAGGTGCGTAGGAAGTGGGAATCCTGAAGGAAAATCCAGGCAAACAAAGGAGAGGCAGGGTTAGGGGGCCCGGGTATGTTCCCAGGCCCACTGAGTTGTTCCCCAGTCCCTCCAGGAGCCCCTGTCATCGAGTGGCCCGGCATGAACAAGGGACATGTGAGGGCAGGGCAGAGCTTAGAGCTGCCCTGCGTGGCCCGAGGTGGCAATCCACCTGCTACACTGCAATGGCTGAAGGTGAGGACAGAGGCAAGCATTGGACTTCAGGGAAGGTGGGGGGGAGGGCAGAGGCTGGCACCGAGGTCTGTCTCCCTGCAGAATGGCCAGCCCGTGTCCACAGCATGGGGCACAGAGCACCTCCAGGCGGTGGCACGCAGCGTGCTGCTGATGACGGTACGGCCCGAAGACCAGGGAGCGCAGCTCAGCTGTGAGGCCTTCAACAGTGTGTCTGAGGGGATCCAGCAGCAAAGCGTCACGCTGCAAGTCACCTGTGAGTCAGCACCTGCTCCTGCCACAGGGATTACACTGGACCCATCTGACACCAAAGACTGCATTGCTGGTCCCCATTTCCCTGTCTGTCTGGGTTGGGCCAGCACCCCCTCCCCACCGTGGGGTCTCACCTATGTCCCTCTGTCCCGCAGTCCCCCCTAGTGCCATCACTATCCTGGGCTCTGCTTCCCAGTCTGAGAACAAGAACGTGACACTGTGTTGTGTCACCAAGTCCAGCCGGCCGCAGGTCCAACTGCAGTGGTGGCTGGGCGGGCGGCAGCTACTTGCCACGGATGAGACCGTCATGGATGTGAGGGGGGCAGGGCATGGTGGGGGAGGTATCTGGGAGAGGAGGGTTCTGGAAGCCTGGGGGTGGAGCAAGGACTGGGTCTGACAGAGGAGGGGTGCAGGTGCATGTTCCCGATGGGGCTGTTGGATGGCAGGGGAGCCAGGCCCCAAGCAAAGGGCTGTTTCAGTCCCTGCATCTGAAGCCAGCTCCCCGCCAGGGCCTGCACGGTGGCCACATCTCCATGTCTAACCTCACCTATCGAGTGCGGCGGGAAGATAATGGCCTGACCCTCACCTGTGAGGCCTTCAGCGACGCCTTCACCAAGGAGACCTTCAAGAAGTCGCTCACGCTGAATGTGAAATGTGAGGTCCTTCTCTGGGCTGACGCGGCCTTGGCACCCTCACCCTGCCCCGCCCCATCTGAGAACCCAGTCATGAGCATCATCAACCTCCAGACCCTGCCCAGAAGCTGTGGATCGAGGGGCCCCCGGAGGGGCAGCTCCTGCGCTCGGGGACCCGGCTGAGGCTGATGTGCTTGGCTGTAGGAGGCAACCCAGACCCCTCTCTCACCTGGCTCAAGGTTGGTCCCAGGCAAGAAGAGGAGAATGGGAGTGGCCAGGAACATGGGTGGGCACCACAGAGCCTCTTGTCACCTTCAGAATCCTGGGAAAATCCTGGAAAAGACAGACATTTTTGGAAAAACACTGGATCTAGAATTTGAGTTTGGACAGGGCATTGGAAAAGACCCAAATGCCCTCAGCATTAAGCAGACTCCAGGGACGGTTCTTGGAATTCTGAAAAACCTGAAAATCCCAAGAAGAAAGAAGGAATCTGGGATCTAGAGCAGAAATTCTAGGGAAAAAGGAAATTCCATAAAACCAAAGGGATTTCTAAGTGAATATCCCGTGAGTTCAGGTGAGATGGTAGGAATTTTAGGGAGAGATTAAGGACAGGAAAAAAGTGATGGGCTGGGAAGACTAAAACATTTGGACAAAGAGTAGTAGTTCCTCAAACGTTTACAATTCATTAAGTTGGATTCTTGGAATGTGGAGGTAAGAGGAAGAAATTCCATTCAAATGAAAGGAAATTCTGAAAAGTTAGGGAGCCAGTGAAAACCCCAGGGAAGGACAACAGAATTCTGAGTGATTGCCAAGAACTGGGGCAGCACAAAGGACTCTCAAAAACAAAAATTGGATATCAAGATGATAATAGGATAATGGGTAATCATCGTAACTTACTATTATTTGGAAATTGTGGAAAAGACACTAAAATAACAGAAAGGATAAGGAAACATTTGGGGGGCTTTTTTTAAAAAGCGACAGAACCACAGTAGATAGGAAAAGAAGGAATTCTGGCCACAGCTTGGGAATGTCAGGGAGTTTCCCAGCATGTGGTGTTTGTTAAATGGCGCTGGAATGGCATTATTGGGGTGGGGGTGGGGGTGGGCCAGCGTGTGGAGGTGGGATCAGTGTGCTATGGGCTTGCAGATCCAGCCCCCTGGCCCGGGTGACCCTTAGTTGCGGAGTGGGCAAGGCTGGGGACAGAGGAGGTGTACTTTTTTCCATCTCACAGAAGTCTTCCTGCTGGGCGGCATCTGAGGCTTGGGTGGGCAGGGTCCCGGCTGCTTGCAATCCCCAGCCCATCCGATCCCCAGGATTCGCGCACGGTGACAGAGTCACGGCTGCCCCAGGAGTCTCGGCTGCCCCAGGAGCCACGGCGCGTGCAGCTAGGGAGCCTGGAGAAGTCCGGCAGCACCTTTTCCCGCGAGCTGGTGCTGATCATTGGGCCCTCGGACAACAAGGCCACGTTCACGTGCAAAGCGGGGCAGCTTAGCGCCTCCACAAAGCTTGTGGTGCAATGTGAGGACACGCGCAAGGGTGGGCTCGCGCCGGGTAGGGGTGTGCGTGTCCCAGCCCCGCAGAAACACAAGGCGACCCTCTCACCTGGAGATTGGCTCTTCCTCCCGCTCCCCAAGTTCCCCCGACAAACCTGACGATCCTGGCCAACGCGTCAGCGCTGCGCCCGGGGGACGCCTTAAACCTGACGTGCATTAGCGTCAGCAGCAATCCACCGGTCAACCTGTCCTGGGACAAGGAGGGGGAAAGGTGAGCGCCAGAGGCCATGCCCCACGCGAGTTGTGGCCATGCTGCACCTGCTCCCTCCCCTGCGTTTTTCCTACCTGCGCGCCCCTGGCTGCAGTCCCAAGCCTGTGCCTGCCCTGGTCTGACCCCGCCAGGCTCGAAGGAGTAGCCGCGCTACCCCAGAAAGCGCCTTTCAGAGGTTCCGCGGCGGCCAGGAGCGTCCTGCTCAGAGTGTCATCCCGTGACCACGGCCACCGTGTGACCTGCCGTGCCCACAGCGCGGAGCTCCAGGAAACCGTGAGCTCATTCCACCGCCTCAATGTGCTGTGTACGTGCGCCAGCCTGGAGCCTCCTTTGCACACACACCCCACTCTGACCCGCAGTCCTGATCCCGACTCAGAACCCTATACTGAGCCTTAACTTCTATCCCGACATACATGACTGAGCTCAGCTTTTTTTTTTTTTTAAGATTTATTTATTTATTTATTGGAAAGTCAGATATACAGAGAGGATGAGAGACAGACAGAGATATTCTGTCCACTGACTCACTCTCCAAGTGACCATAATGACTGGAGTTGAGCCAATCTGAAGCCAGGAGCCTCTTCCAGGTCTCCCACATGGGTGCAGGGTCGCAAGGCTTTGGGCCTTCCTTGACTGCTTTTCCAGGCTACAGGCAGGGAGCTGGATGGGAAGTGGAGCTGCTGGGATTAGAACTGGCGTCTGTACGGATTCCTGGCACGTGCAAGGCAAGGACTTTAGCCGCTAGGCTATTGCTCCTTTTTTAACATTTTGTTTTGTTTTGTTTTGTTTTAATTGGAAAGTCAAATATACAGAGAGGAGGAGAGACAGAGAGGAATATACTGAGCTCAGTCCTGACCTCCCCAATCCTAGTCTAACCACGACTTTAACCATTAAACCTGCGCATGACCCCGAACGAATTCCCAGCCCCAACCTTACCTACTCCCTTGGGCGCCCTCTCTCCAAAGACCCTCCAGAGTTCCTAGGGGAGCAGGTGCTGGTGGTGACGGCGGTGGAGCAGGGTGAGGCTCTGCTGCCCGTGTCTGTGTCCGCTAATCCGGTCCCTGAGACCTTCAACTGGACTTTCCGTGGCTATCGGCTCAGTCCAGGTGCGGTTGGGCTTGGGCATGGAGGGGAGGGAGGGCAGATACTCCAGGTCCGTCACCCAGCCGGCCTTCCGCAGCGGGCGGCCCTCGCCATCGCATCCTGTCCGGTGGGGCTCTGCAGCTGTGGAACGTGACCCGGGCCGACCGCGGGGTCTACCAGCTGCACTGCCAGAACTCGGAGGGCACCGCTGAAGCGCTGGTGCGGCTGGACGTCCACTGTGAGCCCCGCCCTGGGACACGGGGGGAGCACGCTGGGAGACCTGCCCGCCACCCTTCCCTAGGAAGGGAACTCTGCCCAACCCAGGGATCTCCTGGGGACCCTCCTCCACTGAAAAGACCCAGTGTGCAGTCTACTCAGAGGCTACCCAGAAGCCCCTCCCAACAGGAAGCCAAGCCCACCATGGAAGGTCCCAGACCTTCCCACCCCTATTCTGGAAGTCGGCCTCACCAACTCAAATCACAAGATGCTACAGGGGTGGGACAACCTCACTAAACCCCTCCAAGCATTCCACAAAAAAGGCAGATTGTATAGGCACCTGAACCTCCCTGGAGCCCTAGTCGCTGTCTCTCCTTCTCATCTGGGGCCTGCTCCTGCCTTGGCTTGTCCATGCCCAAGCCCTGTGCCTCCCACCAGATGCTCCGGTCATCCGCGCCCTCCAGGACCCCACAGAAGTAGATGTCGGGGGCTCTGTGGACATAGTCTGCACTGTGGATGCCAATCCCATCCTCCCAGATATGTTCAGCTGGGAGAGGCTGGTGAGGACCCCTGCCTTTGACCTTCGTTTTGGTGAATGAAGTTGGGGTCAGAGGCATAGAATTTCTTGACTGAGCTCTGTGGGTGTGGGGGCCACATCTGTGTGATGGTACTTAACTATACACTTGTCAGAACATGCCCCAGGAACACATATAGCTGCTTTTGAGTGGCCGATGAACGAGTCGATGGACAGGTGACAGGCTGGGTAAATGGATACGTGGATGAAAGGACAGTTGATAGGAATGAGCAGGTAGAAGGACAGATGGACAGGTGAAGGACAGATGAGGAATGGAGGGATGAATGGTCAGACCGAGTAAGAGAGAGATAGACGAAATGAGCTCCACTAATGAGTGTGTGGGTGAAATCAGTGGATAGATGGATGGACTGGATGGGTACACCATCACTGGAAAGACATCTGTGGATCAGTCAATGGGCAGATTGATGGAGAGGTAGATAAATAGGTAGGTGGACGAGTGGATTAATAAATGCATGTATTTATGGCTAAATGTTAATGAATGGAAGAACAGGTGGAGAAACACAAGCCTGAATCTATAGATGGGTGAGTGGGTGAATGAATGAGAAGATGAATGGATGACTGGGTGGGTAGATGGCTCCAGTGTGATTGGATACATGGACAGATGGCTTGGGTCAGTGTATGACAGACATTGTTTCTTTGGTAGCTCTATGGAAGGTGATTTTGGCTGGGAGAAGGGAAACACATTTTGGGGGATGCTGGATCTGGGGTCAGACCAGAGAATCAACTTTTGAGTCTTGGGCCTTCAGGGAGAAGAGGAGGAGGAGCAGAGTCTAGAAGACATGGAGCAGATATCCAAGGGAGCCACAGGACGCCTGAGGATTCGCCATGCCAAGCTGGCCCAGGCTGGTGCTTACCAGTGCACGGTGGACAACGGCGTGGCACCTCTGGCCAGAGGGCTGGTCCGTCTTGTTGTCAGATGTGGGTAACATCCAGATCTTGGCTCTGAGGTTTGCCACTGAACCCACAGATTCTGGACTTCCCCTCTGCTCACACTGAAATCCCCCCCGAACACCCTAGTTGCCCCTCAGGTGGAGCATCCCACACCTCTCACTAAAGTGGCTGCAGCTGGAGACAGCACCAGTTCGGCCACCCTCCACTGCCGTGCCCGGGGCATTCCTAACATTGTCTTCACCTGGACAAAAAATGGAGTCCCTTTGGATCTCCAGGATCCTAGGTGAGCCAAGGGCCTGCTAAGTAGCAGTCCAGCCTCAGCCCTGGTCTCCAGCCCCGGGGTCTCCTCCTGAGCACCCCCTCCCTCCTCAGGTACACAGAGCACACCTACCACCAGGGCGGGGTCCACAGCAGCCTCCTGACCATCGCCAATGTGTCTGCTGCCCACGATTACGCCCTCTTCACTTGTACAGCCACCAACCCCCTGGGCTCGGACCAGACCAACATCCAACTTGTCAGCATCAGTATGACCGGGGGTTAGGGGAGGGCTCTGTGGGTCAGCTCCCAAGCTCCCTGGTTGACCCCAGATTAGCAGCGTCCCTGAAGTCTGGGAAGTGTTTATGAGTGGGGATTGAGTTTGTTGTTGTTGTTGTCGTTTTAAAGATTTATTTACTTTTACGGGAAAGTTAGATTTACACAGGGAAGGAGAGACAGAGAGGAAGATTGTCCTTCCACTGATTCACTCCCCAAGTGGCTGCAACAGCTGGAGCTGCACCAATCCAAAGCCAGTAGCCTGGAGGCTCTTTAGGGTCTCCCATGCAGGTGCAGGGTCCCAAGGCTTTTGGGCCATCCTCAACTGCTTTCCCATGCCACAAATAGGGAGCTGGATAGGAAGCAGGGCTGCTGAGATTAGAACCGACTCCCATATGGAATCCCAGTGCGTGCAATGCAAAGACTTTATTCTCTAGGCCACCGTGCCAGGTCCTGCCCTGGGAATCTTAAAGACGATTGGAACTTCAGGGAAACCCACAGCCAATGGAAAACAAAGTGTGTGTGGGGGGGGGCGGTGTGGAAATCAGGGTGGTATCCTCCATGGCCCAAGTATTTGAAAAGTGGATTTTCAGGAATTGTTTGGTCTGGGTTCAGCTGCAACCAAGAACTGATATTTTTCCTTAAGTCACTTTCTTCTATGTGGGCGTTAGCCTAAGATCCCTCCCCCGACCCCCAAGTCGGATCAAAATATCGCGATGAAATTTCCTTATCTGCACTTGGCTTTCAGCCCATCTCTGCACCAGTTGTGGTGAGGCGAAAGCAGTACTAACAAGCCACTCTTGGTCCCAAGTCTATCCTACCAAGAGTGGAGTCGCCTCTGTCAGCAGCTTTTAGCCTGAGACCAGGGCATGGTAAGGTGACACTCAGCCTTCTGGTTTCAGCGATGTCCTTTTTGCAGCTTATTGAGTGGCATGGTTTTGTGCTTTTGGACTTTTGGTTAACAATGCTTCTGTTTGGGAGGGCCTCTGAGCCCAGCAGGAAAGCTGTGGTGCGTCTTAGAGAGAATTCTGGTGTTGGATAAGCTCTGCTTAGACGCAGGCGAGGGTGCAGTTCATCATGAGTTCAATGTTGGTGCATTTACAGTCTGTACTAAATAAGGTGCCTCTAAGTGGAAACATGCTTAAAGCAAGAGCATGTGCCGATGGGTTGGCAAAAACGCTGCAGACGCTTAAAAGAAGGCATCTTAGCTCCCATTTCCCCAAGACACAATGGTTGGGAGTTACTAATTCAATATTTCTAGAAAAAGTTACAAAGCATCTTCAGACGAGATTGGGTGCGTTCAGGGTAGTATGGCTGTAGACACAAAGCATCTTCAAAAAGTTCATGGAGGTAAGTTATGAAAAGACTGCATAGATTTTTTCTTAAATGCCCCAGAATCAACTTAAGGGCTAATTCCATTTTCCCATGAACTTTCTGGAGTATCCCCCTTATAAAACCCAAATTCCTTTGAAGAATGAGACTTGATTGTGTATTTAAAACCATTCTAAATCCTACTCTGGAAGGAACCTCCTAGAATCCATTTGTATGTGACTGCTCTCTCCATCCTTCTCTTCCAAGGCCGCCCTGACCCCCCCTCGGGGTTAAAGGTCGTGAGCCTGACCCCACACTCCGTGGGGCTGGAGTGGAAGCCCGGCTTTGATGGGGGCCTGCCACAGAAGTTCCACATCAGGTAGGTTCCTGACCTGGCAGGAAGGGGCACCTGCCAGCGGATCTGGGTGTTTTTCTGGACTGACCATCTTTCTGTGATGCAGGTACGAGGCCCTGGACACTCCAGGGTTCCTCTACGTGGATGTTTTACCACCGCAGGCCACTGCCTTCACCCTGACTGGCCTGCAGCCTTCCACACGGTACAGGATCTGGTTGCTGGCCAGCAATGCCCTGGGAGACAGTGGACTAACTGTCAAGGGCACCCAGCTCTCTGTCACCACCGCAGGTGGGAAGGGACAGTCTCGGGGCAAGTTGGGGGGTTTCTTAGAGGACCTATGGGACGGTGTCATGATGTGGGTGCTATACAGATCAAACATTGAGGTGCAGAGAAGTTAAGCAAATTGCTCAAGGTCACACAGCTCAAAGAGGCAGAGATGGGGAGGAGGCTGATGGACTGTAGACAGTAGCTCTTATCCCCCAATCTGTGTGAGGATAATTTTAGAACTTAGTGGAAAAAAATGAAATTATAATACAAATTTATTTTGTGCAAAACATGAAGACTGCATAAGTTTTCACATGCACATTTTTCATGAGCTTTTGAGGAGCCTTTGCATGCATGGGCTTCTGGATTTTTTGCAGCAACATAAGCTTCTCATTTCCTCATAAACTTTTTTCTTTCTTTTAAAGATTATTTTTTTATTTATTTGAAATGTGGAGTTCCAGAGAGGAAAAAGACAGAGATCACCCATCCACTGTTTTCACTTCCCAAATGGCCTCACTGAAGCCAGGCACCCAGAACTTCCTCCAGCTCTCCCACGTGGGTGCAGCGGCCCAAGCACTTGAGGCATCCTCCGATACTTAGCAGGTGCATTAGCAGAAAGCTGGATTGAAAGTGGAGCAGCCACGTCTGGAATCAGCACCCATATATCTCGGGCAGCATTTTAATCCACTATGCTACAATGCTGCATGCTGGTTCAAGTCCCGGCTGCTCCACTTCTGATCCAGCTCTCTATACAAGCACCTCGGAAGGCAGCAGGGGCTGGCCCAAGTGCTTGGCTACCTGTACCCATGTGGGAGACTCAGAAGAAAGTACTGGTTTTTATACTTTGAACTGATCAGCTTTGGCTGTTGTGACCACTTGGGGAGGGAACCAGTGGATGGAAAATCTCTGTCTCTTTGCCTCTCCTTCTTTCTTTCTGTAAATCTGCTTTTAAAAAAGGATGATTTTTTTTTTTAAAAGACATGCCTCTTGCCCACTTTCTGTTTACTTTGCCCTGTGAAAGCTCACCCAAGCCTCTTCTTTCCGTGCCCCTCTTCCAGACTAGGCCTCACAACCCTCCCTGTTCTTCCCCTCCCCCATTCTAATCTTCTCTCTAAGCATGAACACATGAAATACTATACTCACTTCCCTCGCTGTAGAACTCAGAACTTACACATCCATTAAGGGATCCCGAGAGCCCAAACATTTTTGATTAATTCAACAAGTTCATCGTGCACAGTAAAAGGGCCTTGCACATCATAAAGCACTCATCGATCATTCATTATTCTTATTGTTAATTTGAGAGGGAGAGAATTTACACTCACTGGTTCACTCTTTCAGTGTTCAAGATTGGGTGGGGGCTTTGTTTGCAGGGTCAGGGGGAGCTCCTGCTTGACCCTTCACTGCTGCCTCCTAGGGTTTGCGGTAACAGGAGACTGGAGCCAAGAGCTAAAGCAGAGCATCAAATCCAGGCATCCCAATCGACAGCACAAGTGTATTAATCTATGTCTTATACACTAGACTAAATGCCTGCCCCTGTCGTTATTAATGACATTTACATTGCTATTCTTCGTGTTTCTCTTAGTATTAATGTCCAGCTCCCTTTGAAATATTCTTAAGTGAGGTCTTAAGTATTCATCAGTGAGGTCTGTGAGCCCAAAAAGCGTGATGAGAGTCTGAGAAGTGGGTACAGCTGATCTCAGGGCTTTGGTCTTGGTACATCATCTTCATGTCCACCTCCCACTCCCACCTGCAGGGTTGGACCACCCTTCTGGAGGACCCGATCACCAGCCACCCACAGAGCAGCCCACAGGCAAGTCCCCCATGCCCTTACAATCCCACACCTGCACTGGAGAAGGGACCCTGCTGGCCTCTAGCCCTGCCTCCAGCCCTTTAAGGCTCGGCTCTGTCAACCAGCTGCACATTCTCAGCTCTTTCTCTTTCTCAGAGTGATAAATGTCCTCTCTTGCCAGTTAAACTCATTTCTGAATGACCTGATTCTGTGCTCTGGGAAGAGCCTCCACCAGCAATGAGCCACCCAGACACTGGCTGCGGCCTTCTGGTCCAGGCTGGCTTGGGTCACGCCTGCAGCGAGCTGGCAGCTGAATTGGCCCTGGTTGGTCTACCATGGAGTGCTCCTTACACATCTGGCAAACCACTGGCTCTTGGCTGGGACTGTGGAGATAACTGGGCCACATGTCTTTCTTGTTCTACTCATTCAGAGGTGGCCACAGGGGACTCAAGGGCAGTGAGATGGGACAAATTTTCATTTGCTCACACTTTCCTTGTTTCTGATCAGGTTGTGCTTGCTGTTGCTTTTTTTTTTTTTTCTTTTTTGGCCAAAGAAAATCATGTGGCTCAACACAGAGTCAGCATAGCCACTAGAAAGGGATCTGCGACTATGTAGCAAACAGTTGGTTCAGAGCTAGAGAAGAAAGTTGTAAGTGACAGCAATTCAACTGTTGTCCACCCTAAAAAAAATAAATGTTTAGTTCACAAAGTGGAAAATTCCAAGCATGGCCCAAAGTACTCGTTTACAATTTGCTTCTCACCCCTCAACTTCTCCTTCCTTGATGATTGCTTCTCTCTGGTTCTTCCATTTTCATTCCCTCTTCTTAGCAGGTGTATCCTGCGGGTTCCACCACAGATGCTTATGTCTGAACTAGCCACTGTGGGGATGGGAATGGGTGGCCTTATTGGCCAGGCTGAACTGTCTGCCCACCATGGTGTCCTGCCTGAGCCGTTCAGGTTGAGAATGGGGGGAGTGACTATTTCCCTAGAGGAAAACAGGTGCTATTAGTAGAAGGTGGTGGAGAGGGTGCCAGATGTTTCCTGGGAGGGACTCAATCTTGTCTCCAGGGATGTAGCAGAAGGGTTGGTCTGGTATTGGTTGTGGAGAGGGATTTCCATTTCAGATGGACTTGAAAAGGTGAATAGAAATCTCAGGAGAGAAGGATGCTTAAGGACAGATTCTTGATTTTCCGAGGTTCAAAATTCTAAGTTTGCATCAGAGGTTCTGGGAACAGCAGGGACTGGTTTGTGTGATTGGAAGACCCGGTCCCTGTGCCTGTCTGTGCCTGTGACATTGGGCGTGGCTGGAGATAGGAAGGGGCTAGCCCATGGAAGGTCCTGGATGCCCAGCTGAGAAGCTGATGCTCTCTGCTGAGCCCACAGACAGGGTTCAAATACAGAGGGGACCTGCTGCCAATGGCTGGGATTGAGAAAGGAGCCCCTTGTCCCTGACTGGCCGGAGGAGTGGGCATGCAACCCCTCGCCCATCTGCTTCTCTAATCTTGGAAGGAGGACCAGTTCGGTCACTGACAGCTACCTTCTGCTCCTAGGCCCCCCGAGGCTGCACCTGCTGCCTGTGCTGTTTGCCGTCGGGGGGCTCCTGCTGCTTTCCAATGCCTCCTGTGTTGGGGGCTTTCTCTGGCACCGGCGACTGAGGCATCTGGCTGACGGTGAGGACAGACCATTCTCCCGTCAGGGTGGAGGCCGCGGGTGAAAGGGAACCCCAAGACAGAGTGGGTTCCAGTGAAGGGTCTCTGAATCTTGCCCCACCCCCATTTCTCTCAGGCTTTTCAGAGAAGACAGAGGCAGGGTAAGTAGGGAGATCTTTGTGTGGGAACATGGTTCTGTGGGAGAAGGTTTGGGGGTGACAAATAGCCAAAGGTCAACACCCAAACCTTCACCTTCACCCTGGAAGGTCAGAGGACCGAATCAGGAATGAATATGAGGAGAGCCAGCGGACTGGAGACCGGGACACTCAGAGCTCCACGGTGAGTGGGGACAACTAGGACCACCCTGCTGAGGCATCTGCCACCATCATTCCAGGTTAATCACTGCCACTTCATAAACTGTAGAGTCAGAGGATGGAAAGAACTTTATCTGGTATGTGTGTGTGTGTGTGTTCATGTGGCAGGTTAGCACCATGGAAGCAGAACCCTATTACCACTCCATGAGGGACTTCAGCCCCCAACTGCCCCCCACACTGGAGGAGTATCCCCAAGGTGAGTCATGAGCCCATGAGGACCCTCCCTATCCAGAGATGCTCCTCCGGCATCTGCATGGGTGCTCATCGCCACTCCAAATCCCAGGCTCCATGGATCCTACAGAGGAGCGTGCGACCTTTCCCGAGCACCTGTACGATGAAGTGGAAAGAATGTACATCCCATCTGGGAGCTGGGGACCAGTCTACGACCAAGTTCAGATGGTGAGGAAATTTGTAATAGCATAAGTCTTTTCTAACTAGTGCTGAAAATCACCTGCTACTGATATTATCAACAAAGAGTTTTGGCCCATAACCCGGTGACCTACAGCACCTGGTCTGTTTCTCTGTCACAGCAGCCAGAGGTGAGTAGCCCTGCTGATGTCAGTTCTTCCAGAACCCATGCGCTATGCCATGTGGTCTTCTTCCAACTTCTAGAACCTCATGCTACTTAGAAGGGCTTCTTCACTGGGGTTTTCAGGTGGCAGTAGGAAAAAGAGGAAGAAAGTACAAGCCTGCCTTAGGACTGCTATTTTCACGCCACTAACAATCACATGATCCCACGGCTGTACCTGGTGTAGAGGAGGCTGTGAAACAATCTAGAATTGGTCAGGCTACAGTTGTGTAGGAAGGCGTACATCCTCTTGGGTTGTTAGCTATCTCCACTGCTCTCAGTAGAAAAGTAAAGAGAATGAATTGTCTTCAAGGTTCAGCTGGACCCATAATTTTCTCCATAAAAATGTCCTTGGAAAATCTAGAAGGGGTTTGTGTCACATTACATTAAGAATATTTAAAGAAAGAGAAAGCCTCTTTTCCAGTATTTTCAAGTCCCTCAGTCTAGCTTGGGTCACATGCTTATTGCTGAACCAATCCCTGAAATGAGGGGTATGTGGATTTGATGGGCCTGGATCCACACCCCTTAGGTCAGGGAGTAGACGTTTAGCTCACTGTATTGAGAGTGGAAGAGGGACTGAGGGCTCAGAGGGAAGGTGCTGGCAGGCACACAAAAACGACAGGTACTCCAGTCACCAATTCCCCCCACACTGCTCTACAACGGAGGGAGTAAGAAAGAGTCTGTGTGCTTTGATGTGCTGTAGTACTTCTGGGTCAGGGAGCACCTGGTAACCTGATCTCACACCACAGCTCCCACCGGGAGAGAAACAGCAGGTTCAGGGATGCTGTCCACGGTGCTGGACCATATGTGCCCTGGAAAGCGCAGATGGAGTCTGCAGGCTTTTCTGTACAGGGCCAGAGAGTGAGTCATTTGGGCTTTGTGGGACATACGGTTTCCCTCTAAACTGCTTAGCTATTCTATTGTAGGACAAAAGCACAGTCATAGGTGATATGAGTGACTGTGGCTATGTTCCCATAAAATCTTATTTTTGGACAATGAAATTTGAATTCATTTAATTTCCACATCACAGACATTCTTATTTTGATTTCTTTCCCCCAAATGTAAAAAAAAAATCTAAAACCATTTTTAGTTCCTGGGCAGTAGAAACACAGTCAACAGGCCACACTTGGCTTGTGGACCAAACTGCCATGAGGTGCTCTGAGCTACAAGGACCATTTTCCTCCCAGCTCTCAGACAGAGAATACCCCAGTCTGGTATTTTTCCTATTCCCTTTTGATGGGGTAAATGTCTTGGAGATTCATAAAACTCACATAATTGTGACTCGTGGTTCATAATTGACATGACTGTTATCATGGGCTTTCAAAGATTTCACATTTCTGGCACTTAAGTTATGTTCCTGACATGAAATTATGTGATGTCGTGAACTTGACTTGATGGGATTGTGGATGAGTAGACAGAGTGTAGATGCATCAGTACTGGCCAAGGGTTGATGTTTTTGAAGTTGGGCGATGGCCACATGAAGTTCTTCTTTTTTTTTTTTAATTTATTTATTTTTATCACAAAGTCAGATATACAGAGAAGGAGAGACAGAAAGGAAGATCTTCTGTCCAATAATTCACTCCCCAAGTGAGCGCAATGGCCAGTGATTTTGCCAATCCAGAGCCAGGAACTTCCTCCAGGTCTCCCACATGGGTGCAGGGTCCCAAGGCTTTAGGCCATCCTCAGTTGCTTTCCCAGGCCACAAGCAGGGAGCTGGATGGGAAGTGGAGCTGCTGGGATTGGAACCGGCACTCATATGGGATCCTGGCGCATTCAAGGTGAGGATTTTAGCCGCTAGGCCACTGTGCCGGGCCCCACCTGGAGTTCTTGATGAGGGTTAATTTATGTTCAGTCTCCACTTTGTATGTAGGGCTTTGGGGTTGTTTTTGTTCCTATTTTTGAAAGGTTTGTTTTTATTGAAGAGGCAAATCAGATTTACAGAGGAGAGACAGAAAGATCTTCCATCTACTGGTTCACTTCCCAAGTGGCAGCAACAGCCAGAGCTGAGCCAATACGAAGCCAGGAGCCAGGACCCTCTTCTGCGGTCTCCCATGTGATTGCAGGGTCCCAAGTCATTGGGCCATTCTGCATTACTTTCCCAGGCCACAAGCAGGGAACTGGAAGGGAAGTGGGATAGCCAGGACATGAACCAGTACCTATATGGGTTCCCAGCACCTGCAAGGTGTGGATTTAACCATTGAGCCATTGTGCTGGGCCCATTTGTTGGGCTTTTTCCAAAATTAAAAGCTGACATCTTTCCCTGAGAAGTCGAACAGCAGTATATATCCCTCCGACTTACTCGACGACCCACAAGGCATCCCTCCATTGTTCTAACTCCACCTTTCGTTTCTCAGGACCCCTACGACTCCCACTGGCTTGAGGACAAGTACGAGCATCCAAGAAGAATCTACGATCAGGTGGCAGGAGACTTGGACACGATGGGACCTGACTCTCTCCCCTTTCACCTCAGGGGAGAGCTGGTGTGAGAGCTTCCTCCATACCGTTCTCCCAGTGTCCTTCACCTTCAAGCGTGGACTGAGCTTGTTATGTGAGCCCCATTAGGCACAAAGGAGGGACACGTGGACGGACTGTGTCAGTGGCAAAGACGGCTCCAGTGGCAGCAAGGTATCAACAGGCTTCCTTCTGCAGCTGCCTTCTGTTGTTTTTATTCACTGCTCCCGATGCACACTGAATCGTGAATGACAAAAGCTCTTCTGTTGTGAGGGTCTTTTTCCTTTTCAAAGTAAAATGTTCACAGATAGAGAAAAGACCCGCTAAAACCCCATTTCATGTTGAGTTCAACCACATCCGAAATCGCTAACAGTAAATGAAATATATAAGCCATTGTACACTGTACTTAATATCATTATTTCTCACAGTTACCTAAAATGTGATCTATAACTATGACACGCATGTACGCATGATTATTTCTATATAAAAGGATATTTACAAAAGAATACATCCTAAATTGTGTGATTTATAGATATTAAAGACCCAAAGGAAAAAACTAACTTATGGGTCAGAGAGCACATCATAGTTACCTAAGACTGTGAAAATAATCAACTACGAAACGCACAAAGGAGTTTTGGGGTAATAGAAATATTTTATACCATGATATGCTGATAGTGGCCAGGATACACAAGTTTGCCAAAATTTATTGTACACTTAAAATGGGTGCATTTTACTGCATATAAGTCATACCATGATAAAGATGATTCTTAAAACAGGCTCCATAATAAAGCAGTCAGCCCAGCATGGTGGCTTAGTAGCCAAAGTCCTCACCTTGCACACGCTGGGATCCCATATGGCACCGGTTCTAATACCAGCAGTCCCACTTCCCATCCAGCTCCCGATTTGTGGCCTGGGAAAGCAGTCGAGGACAGCTCAAAGCCTTGGAACTCTGCATCTGCATGAAAGACCCAGAAGAGGCTCCAGGCTCCTGGCTTCGGTTTGGCGCAGTTCTGGCCATTGCAGCCTCTTGCGGAGTGAATCATAGGACAGAAGATCTTCCTCTCTCTCTCTCCTCTCTGTATATCTGACTTTCTAATAAAAATAAATCTTTAAAAAAATAAATCAGGGCCCGGCGCAGTGGCGCAGTGGTTAAGGTCCTCGCCTTGCATGCCCGGGATCCCATATGGGCGCCGGTTCTATCCCGGCAGTCCCGCTTCCCTTCCAGCTCCCTGCCTGTGGCCTGGGAAAGCAGTCGAGGACGGCCCAAAGCTTTGGGAACCTGCACCCGCGTGGGAGACCCGGAAGAGTCTCCTGGCTTCGGATCGGCATAGCATCAACCCTTGCGCTCACTTGGGGATGGAAGATCTTCCTCTCTGTCTCTCCTCTCTGTATATCCGCCTTTCCAATAAAAAATAAAATAAAATAAATCTTTAAAAAAAAAAATCAGTCAGCAAAAGAATCCTTACTTATATTGACTATCAGGATAGCTAAGAAACCTACCTGTTTCCATAAATAATGGAAAATAGTTCAATGTGACCTTCCTTTTTATTTCTGATGCTGTTTGATTAATTGCATTATTAAAACTTTTGGTTCAATTATTTTTTATAATTTTTAAAAATTTATTTATTTTTATTGGAAAGGCAGATGTACAGAGAGAGAAAGACAAAGATTTTCCATCTGCTGTGTCACTCCCCAAATGACCGCAACTGTCAGAGTTGAGCCGATCTGAAGCCAGGAGCCAGAAGCTTCATCTGGGTCTCTCGTGTTGGTGTAGGGTGCCAAAGCTTCCAGCTGTCCTCTGTTGCTTTCCCAGGCCACAAGCAGGGAGCTGGATGGGAAGTGGAGCTGCTGAGATTAGAACCGGTGCCCATATGGGATCCTGGTGAAGACTTTAACTGCTACGCTGTCATACCAGGCCCCCGCCCCCGTTCAAGTATTTTTAATGTTACTCTTTTATCAGTATAGGTGAAAGTAAGTTTTTACACCACAGTGCTTGTATTTGCAAATCTATTAAGGCTCAAATAATTTCACTTGAAATCAAGCACTGAGGTTATGGTGCAGTGTTCTTTTTTAAAATATTTATTTATTTTTATTGCAAAGTCAGATATACAGAGAGGAGGTGAGACAGAGAGGAAGATCTTCTGTCCTATGATTCATTCCCCAAGTGGTCACAACAGCCAGAGCTGAGCCGATCCCAAGCCAGGAGCCTGACGCTTCTTCCAGATCTCTCATGCAGGTGCACGGTCCCAAGACTTTGGGCCATCCTTAACTGCTTTCTCAGGCCACAGCTGGATTAGAACTGGTGATACAGAGGTTTAAGCCCCTGTTTCTGATGTTGGTATCTCATATCAGAATGCTGGTTGATGAGTCCGGGCTACTCCATTTATGATCTAGCTTCCTGCTAACGCACCTACGCAGAGATGCTACTCTGAGTTCTTGGGCCCCTTCTACCCACGTGGGAGACCAGAAAGGGGTTTCTGGTTCCTGGCTTCAGCATGGCCCAGTCCTGGCTGTCGCAGCCATTTGGGGAGTGAACCAGTGGATGGGACATCTCTCCTGGTCTCTATCTGACTTTCAAACAAACAGTAAATTTTTTAAAATTAGACATGGAATGCTACCTAACCCAGCAATTCTGCTTCCATGTTTAGACTGAAAAGAATCGGAAGCAAGCTCTCAAAGAGCTGCCTGTACATCCAGTGCAAGGTCTACAGGGTAAGCAAATCTGCCTCAGCGTGCATCCGTAGACGCTTGCTGCCAAACTTGACCAAGAGAGTTGTCCAAGCTGTTCTGCTTTCCATTTTCTGATGAGGCAGTTGATGTCCCCTGCTGGCCTGGATGAGCTGGCCATCATGTCTCCTGTGTGCATATGGACATGCTGTCCACTGCACAGGCATCAGCAACTGAGGAGGCCCAGTCCCAATACTATACTCCAAGGTTGGACAACGCATCCTGTGGCTTTCCCTGTGGCCAGGGTCTGAGTCCAGCGTTCTAGTTCCCAAAGAAACCTTGCCTTGGGTGACCCCAGACTTGACTCTTCTGTGTGCCAGCTAGTGTAGGGTCAGGTTTGGTCTGTCACCTGCGCTAGCCATTGCACATCCTGGTAGACACAAGCTGCCTGGTGAGTTCTTCTCCAGCCCCATGTCTCATGCAAACTAATAGATGCTACAGCATAGCCTAGCCAACCCACCACACACCTCGTTCTCACACATACTAGCTCCCCAAGTGAGCACAACGGCCGATGCTATGCCGATCCGAAGCCCGGAGACTCTTCTGGGTCTCCCACACGGGTGCAGGGTCCCTAAGCCTTGGGCCGTCCTCGACTGCTTTCCCGGGCCACAGGCAGGGAGCTGGAAGGGAAGCGGAGCTGCCGGGACTAGAACCGGCGCCCATATGGGATCCCAGGCATGCAAGGCGAGGACCTTAACCACTTGCGCCACCGCGCCGGGCCCCACATTATGTCTTATAGACAGCACTATACTTAGAAGTGTGAATTTCCAGTATGATAAAGAAACCTTTGGTAACATTCCAAACAACATCCAAGACACACTCTTCACCATTTTTACCTCGTGCTTTCACGTCAGAAAACGTCGGTACGTTTTAAACATGTGTAAGCTTTCTCTCGAAACACACAAATGCTCGTGAAGACGCGTTCCAAGGACGCGCACACACAACCCAGGCTTCTAAAAAAGGCTTTAACCTGCAGAGATCACGGCGGCAACCGAAGACGTTGGTGCAAATTTCCAGGTCCGCCACCAGGGGGCAGTACTGCCACGTTCGAGAAGCATCCAGCTAGCTGGGGACGGTGCACCCGCTCTGAGCATCCTGCTGCTCCTGCAGGCGCGCACGGGTCGTCCCTGTGTGTCTGCTGCCCCGAGGTGATCAACAGACCGATTGTTAAAGGCTCAGTCGCTGCGCCAGCGCCGAGCCAGAGAGGCCTGCAGGAGGGCCCTGTGAGAAGGGTTTTCCCTCACCCTTTGGCTGCTGAATAGCAGTCAGCAGTGCGGGGGCTGGAGTAACTGGGTTACTTTTGCTGCTTTCCCTGGCAGGGAGCTAGATCAGAAGTGGAACAGTGCCGGTAATGGGATACTGGTGCTGCAAGCTGCGGCTGTACTGACTGCATCACAGCATTAGCCTGGACAAGAATTTTTCAAAAAGATTTATTTCTTTGGAAAGAAGAGTGCTCAAGAAAGCGAAAGGCACAAACGACTTACTCCCCAAATGGCCTCATCAGGTGGGACTGGGCCAAGCCAGAAGAAGCCGGGAATCTAGAACTCCATCTGGTCTCCCACACGGATGTAGGGGCCCAAATATCTGGGCCGTCCTCTGCCGGTTTCCCAAGCACATTAGCAGGAAAATGGATCAATGGGACTTGAACTGGATCTATATGGGGTGCCTGCTGTGCCACAATGCTGGCCCCAGAGATGGGCTACATGGATTTACACGCGTCTTTCTGTCCACACTAGGAGCGCCTGTGTAGTTGGAAGAGCAGGTGCGCACAGACAGCAGGCAGGAACTGCCGGTCCACGGGTACTACCATCTGGAACGTCTCTGGCAACAGAATCTTCCAAGCCCAGTGCCCAGGGGGCTGCTCTAGGGAGGCTCTATGCCCCGGTGACCCTCTCTGCTGGACACTCCCAGAATAGGCGTGCCCCGCCCCAGGCCAAGCCACAGCAACAGGTGATGGCTGAATGTCCCGAGGTCATCTGCCCACTCAGCCAAAGCCCCTGAAGGAGAACTCGGATCCTGGGCCTGACCTCCCATGTAGGCCCTGGCCTCTGTGCTCACACCCAAGCCCTTTTCCCTCTGACCACAGTGAGGAAGGCACCCACTTAGGAGCTTCATCAAGAACCTTCCATGGCTACCAGTAGCAAGCCCACCATTCTGCCAGGTACTCGCAGTTCCCTACCTGGTGTCCCACCTCCCTCACCCTCACATTGAGTCTCACTCTGCCCCAGCCCCAGGTTTGTGCTTCAGGTAGGGAAAAGAAGGGTTTTCTGGGGGCAGTATTGTGGCACCGTGGGTTAAGCCACTCCTT